CACCTTGATCTCATGCTATGATCTCATGAAATCAGCGTAATCATGGAATCATGACACCTTGATCTCGCGCTATGATTTCATGAAATCAACGTAATCATGGAATCATGACACCTTGATCTCGCGCTATGATTTCATGAAATCAGCGTAATCATGGAATCATGACACCTTGATCTCGCACTATGATTTCATGAAATCAGCGTAATCATGGAATCATGACACCTTGATCTCGCACTGATTTCATGAAATCAGCGTAATCATGGAATCGTGACACCTTGATATCGCGCTGATTTCATGAAATCAGCGTAATCATGGAATCATGACACCTTGATATCGCGCTGATTTCATGAAATCAGCGTGATCATGGAATCATGACACCTTGATATCGCGCTATGATTTCATGAAATCAGCGTGATCATGGAATCATGACACCTTGAACTTTCATGAAATCATAGCACAATCATGAAATCACATTGTGCAATCATGAAATGTTATCACACAATCATGAAATCATGATATCTTCATTTCCCACTGATTTTACACAAGCATATGATTGCATGATACCCTATTGGCCCAAATATAAGCTGCACTCCCCTCAAAAATTCTGACTGTGAAAAGTTAAAGTGCAGCTTATATTCAGAACCGAGCGCTGCATGACCGCCTCCCAACACTACCACTCTGAACGGGGTGCTGGGAGGCACCACCTCCCCAAGCTGGTGCCCCCCGTTCAGGATGGTAGTGTTGGGAGGCGTTAGTACCGGGAGGTACTTTTCAAGCATCTCAAGGCTTCAGAGCCAGGGCATGGATAGGGGTTTGCCTCCCCTCTCCCAACAAGTTTTTCCCAGCGCAAAAAAAGAGTACTGTTACATTGCAACAAGAATAAGACGAGCAATGATGTCAGCAACGGAGTTCAAATTGTAAACATCGAAGGAACAATAATAAACACTAGTGACATCTGAATTGAATTTTTAAAACCTTAAAAGTCGAAACCTGGCCATAAATATAAGCACCAATTCTGTGAATTGGCCATATTTTTACTGCTATTTGTAGCACAATACTACTTTTAATGTCATATTTTTTATAAATTGCTTTCTGGCCACTGACCGTATTAAAGATATTTCATTTGATTTTTGGCATGGATAGGGGTTTGCCTCCCCTCTCCCAACAAGTTTTTCCCAGCGCAAAAAAAAGAGCCTTTAAGATCTTTGCCTTGCTTAGGGTGCAAGGTTCTCTCTGTGTACCAGGCTCTGAATGCTCTTGCAACATTTCATGAGGCCTTCCTAGTTCCCACAAAATCTTGTGGGAGCATCCCAGACGCAACACATGGAGAGGGCCTTACTCCCAGGCAAGGCAGAGACCTTAAAAGCTATTTTGTGCTAGGTCTTCCCAGTGCAAAAAGAGCCACCTTGCTTGCATTTAACTTTTGGGATTCCATCCAGTGCCCTTCAGCAGCATATGGCTGAAATTGTGCAAGTTCAGTGCAGGTAATATGTGCTCCTACTGCACTGAGAATCTCAAGCATCCTCACGAAGGGAAGCCACCTTCTGGCCCAGCACGTACTTTTCCAAGAAAGTCACCTCTGGTGCAGAATGAAACACACATGCTCACATTTCATTGCCATTTTTGCCCTCTTTGGGACCAGTACGGCTGCTGAAATATCAGCTCTTTCTTCAGGCCTGCACTGAAATCAACTTAACCTTCAACAGCAACAACGTGACTGACATGTTCCCAGAGATCCCCTTCACAGATGCTGCCAGGGAGCAGTATTGCTTTCAGAAATGGGGGGTCCGCCCTCGGCCGTCATGGCTACAGACCAGCTTCTGGGGTGGTGGTAAGCAGACAGTTCTTTCTTCATTCCCTCTGGCTTGGGATTGTACCTCACTGGTGAGATCGGCAACCAGAAATCCTTTTCTGCAAACCTTGTCACCTCCCGATGGGTGCCCTGATGGGAGAGCTGCTGCCAGCCAGAGTAGCCAATATTGGTTTGAGGTACAGATGGTCCAACTCTGTAACAAGGCAGCTCCCTCCCCTCCCCAGTCTTGAGCACGTCCTTTTCCTCGACTGCCTTCAACGCAGACCTCCCCTTGAATTTCAGCTAGCCCATGAAAGACTTTGAGCATTACATTTGAGAGTCTATTTCATGAGTTGTCACCATGCTGCTTTCTCCTGGGTCAGACTATTGCCTCATCTAGCTCAGTATTGTCCACACTGACTGGCAAGGGCTCCCCATGATTTCCGGCTGGGGCTTCTCCCAGCTGTGCCAGGGGTTGAACCTAGGACCTCCTGCATGCAAAGCAGGTGTTCTGCCACTGGGCCTCAGCTCATCATGCAGCTGCTTTGGTGCAATTTAAAGAGTTTCTACCAGGCAAGCGAATAGTCTTATTTAGTATCTTGCTTAATACCCTCAGATCTGACTGCTGCAAGCAACATCATCTTCTCAAACGGAGACTTGGATCCCTGGGCCAGTGGTGGAGTAAGTTATCACCCTCTCCAAATGCTGCTTGCTCTTTTATAGCTGTCAGCTTGAACGCTTTGCCTGGCCCCAGAAAGGTTTGACTTCCGTTCATTGTCATTGCAGGTTAGAAAGAACCTGAGCTCCTCGTTGATAGCGATATTTATCAAGGGAGGTGCCCACCACCTAGATCTCAGGTATGTATTTGTAGAAATTGTCAGGAGCTATGTAACCAACATGGGTACCACCACTGAAGGTTTAATGAATCCTTCAAGATCCTCCTTCAGACAGGAAGTCCTTTTAAAAACCTATAAGTACCGTATTTGTGGCTCCATAAGATGCACCTAGTTTTTAGAGGAGGAAAACAAGAAAAAAAATATTCTGAAACAGTGGATGTATGATTTTTGTGGTTCATGCTGTGGCCACAGACATGTGATTTGACGGTGAGTTTGGGGTAACCCAATACAAAAATCCTGAGAATCCATGTGGATCCATGCTTTGTAACCATGCTTTTGCGCCATTGCGGCCCCACGAAACAGTGGATGTGTGGGGTTTTTTTGGTGCAGGCTGTAGCCATGGACATGCTATGTAATCTGATGGTGAATTTGGGGTGGCCCAATGCAAAAATCCTGGCTAGCATCCTTATCTCCCTCCCGATCCCACCGATCAGCTGCTTCCTTTCAACACTCCCTTCCCTCTTGTTTGCCTTAGTGTCTTTTCCTTAGCTGGAGCAGTTTTTTGCTCCTCCTTTTCTTCCAATTTCTCTCATTGCTTTAGTCTTCCTGTCTCCTCTCCTTGCAAGTTCACTGTCTTTACCTCCCCCCTCCCAGGCAGCCTCCTTTATTGCTAGCGTCCCTTATCTCCCTCCCTGATCGCTTGCCAATCAGCAGCTTTGTTTCAACACCCATTTCCCTTTTTCAAAAAAATGAGCATGATCTGCTTTTTGCCCCTGGACAATTTGGCTCCAGGGTCCACGCATTTGCTCCATAAGACGCACAGACATTTCCCCTTACTTTTTAGGAAGAAAAAAGTGTGTCCTATGGAGTGAAAAATGTGGTAAATACATTTTTAACTCTTCACTTATTTTATGCCATTCAGCCAGCCTTTCCCAACTGGGCACCCTCCAGATGTTTTGAACTACAACAGCCATTAACATCCAAAACATCAGGAGGGCACCAGGTTAGTATATTGCATTAAGCAATTCAATCTGGGCTATTTCAGTGCAGGTATGTTAAGATGCCCAGTTCCTTGTTCTCTCTTCTCCAGTGCAAGACTAGCCCTTGCTAGTATCTTAGCAGCCACTTGAATAAATTCACAGAAGATAGGACCAACACCTGTGATAGATAAATAGAGCCTCTGTGTTTAGAGGCAGTTTACCCCAGAGGAGCAGGTGTAAACCAGAGGGGTCATTTCACCCCAAAAAGAGCTCCAAAATAGCCAAACTGAAAAACTGCCAGCTGTGGGTCCCTGGATTTGGCATCTGCTTCCTGTGGGCTTTATGTGTTCCAACAGGGGTTCCAACCCAGCCGATCCACCTTCCGCCAGAGAGGCTCGTCTCCAAGAAGCAAATATCATCCGTGACTGGGTCAAGGCAGCAGCTGGGGCCTCGAAGCAGCTCACTCCCAACCACCATCCAGCCAGACTTTAGCAGGAGTCGTCAAGGCAGCATTTGGGTACCAAAACCAGCTAGGAGTCCTGCCTACGGTTTGCCAGTTGGTTGTTGGGCTGCTGAATCAATGACACTTCTCTGCAACAGGATTGTAAAAAGAATAAAACTGGAGATTGCCTCAGGAGCTCTATCCTGCTTTGTTTGTGTTTCCTGAACATTGGATCAGGTCCAGGTATACATGACACGCATTATTTCCTATAGTGAGACAGCCAGCTCTCTCCGGAGAAAGGAACAGGGACTTCTGCCATTAACTGATCTCGCTAGCTGAGGCTTTCAAGCTCACTCGTCTCCTGTGTTGTTTCAAAGCAGGCAAATTGCCATTGCTGAGAACAAGAAGAACAGCCTGTGTCTTAATGGAGCTTATAACCGATCCCAAGTGTTGGAGGCAAGTATGTTGATTATTCTACCCTCTCATTGAAATCACTTGGAATAAGCTCAGGCTCCCACACACCAAGTCAGAGCATTGGTCTGTCTAGCCCAGTACTCAGTTGTCCCCCCCCCCCATCTTGGGCTCGTTACCTGCCCCCTGCTCCTTTTAACTGGAGACACCAAGGGTCGCACCTGGGGACTTATGCATGTAAAGCAGGTATCCTGTGACAGAGCTACGCCCCCCCCCAAGGGTGTTCCCAGCCAGCCTTAAAGGAACACATGGATGGGCATTGCTCTCTAGCTGTTCTGCGGACCACTAGTGTCAATGAGTTTGTTTGTTTGTTTGTTTGTTTGTTTGTTTGTTTGTTTTGGTCACTGCCTGCAGCTTGACTGAAATGTGGCACCCGTGCCCCATTTAGTTCAGTGCAAGGTCAAGCAAAGCCTGGTGCTGAGCAGCCCGGAGGGTGTGAGGATGCATAAGCAGTAAACCAGAACACGGGAAAAACCAGCGTCTCAAAATAAATTACAAGTTTATTAAAGTGGAATAGAATTCTGTGGATTAGCTTGACTAAATACAATGGGGTTTTTTTTTATTTAAATCATATTTAAGATATATTTCTTCCACCTCTTAAAAAGGTGAAGTACACCAAAAATCATTTGCACATTCACAATGGGATGGGTTCATCTATGTAACAAATATGGTGGACCAGATAACAAACACAGCAAGGCTTCATTCTTTTTTCTTCTTTGGCAGGGGAAGAGAAGGAAGGCAGTCAGCTTTAGAGCAGCTGCATGGGGGAAGGGAATAGGCTAAGTCTTGGAAGCTCCTCCACCCTGCAGCTCCTGTACCAAACGGAGGAGTAAACACAGCAGCAACTGAGCATCTAGGCATGAGGTTTGGTGGTTGGAAGATCTGGCCTTCACTTCCTATCAGTTTGCAGCAAGTTGCCAACTAGACTCCTGGTTGTTTTCTGTTGCTCGGAGGAAGAGGATGGGAAACTCCTGTTTCCCCTCCTTTAAGACATTGGAGAAAGAACTGGCTATCTTCATAGGCAGCATTTCACAGTAAGACATGTTCCTATTCACAACACTGTACCCATAACCCACCTGCCTACACATAACCATGGAAGATTTAACACGGAATGTCTGCAGACCTGTGGCATTGCAGAGCGAGAAAAATGACAATACAGGTTTTTTTTTCTTTTTTGGAAGTGCTTTGAAAGACGAGAGAATGAAGAGGATTTGGCTTTTGTGGGGAGCTGTGAATATTCTGCATGTGAGGGGAGTGAGAATTCAGGATTCTGCATCAACAAAAGCCACATTCTGCAGGTGCAGCTCATTTGTTCTGCTGTCTCTGGGTGGGGGCCCAGGAGTTGGAGAGCGTGTTCCAGCACGGTAGGTTGCTCAGTGCCAAAAAGACTCCACCTTGTGCCTGGCTAGCTGCATGTTACCAAGGGATACATCATCACCTGTCTACCAGCTTCTGCCTCCTTCCTAGGGAAAGCACTCGCCTCCAGCTCCTACACCCACTCATCCCCCCCTTTACCCTTGGGTGTAGAAGGCCCTAGTGCAAAGTTTAAGCATTGGCCTTCCCAAGATGGGGCAACTGTTCAGCTTTAGAATATGGCTTTTAAATTCCAGGGTGCACTTGGGTGAGGAGAGTGGGGAACAGGGAACACCACTGTATTCTAAATGACACACACAAACACGCACACATAAATCTTTCTTGGACGAATGTTCCAGTACTGCCCAGGGCAGGCAGGGTCATGTGGCTTGTGGCTGCTTTTCTGCTGCCACTCAGGAGACACTGCCCTACAACCGGGAAGACAGGCTTCGTGTAAAACAACTGGCATCCAGTGCCTTCCTCTGAAAATCCATGGTTACAGCAGCAAAATTTGGAATTATTAATCCTTAGCAATTATATTGCACTTTTTATCTCTGAGATCCTAACGGCCATCCTGCAAGGTAGGGCTGCTGCAATCCATGCACTTTTGCAGGGAAGCTTGAGGCTGAGACTATACCTAGCCGTGGTGAGACTTGGAACTGGATCACCACCTGCAGGGTCTTGTCCACTGCGCTGCTCCAGCTATTAAGTCAGCAGCCAAACCTCAGTCTCTGAAAACTTGCTTTTTTATTGGAAAGTCTTAAGACAAGTTGTTGTTCAGCTCTTGTTCTGGGCAAAGCGAGTCCACCACCAACACCATATGTGCCAGATTTGGTACAGCTCGCAAAATACACTCTGAAATTCTGTCACAATTCTAAAAAATAAAAGACAAGTAGGATCTACCAAGAACATAATTCATTGCAGGAAATTCTCGTGCCAGTCCAAGCTCTGCTCTCTTATTCATTCCGACGTGGAAGCCACAGGGCATCTTCCCACTAATTTGTTACCCCTTGATATTTAAATAATTTGTTCCGGCTCAAAAACAGCGACTAAGCGGTTACAAGACAGGCCTGACAGAACGTACTACTGAGAAAAGCAGGAAGCAACAGAGGCTGGGAATTCCACGGCAGGCAATGAAAATTGCTGGGTGACTGGTCAGCCCCCAAACTAGAGAGGATAGTCTCCAGCACCCTCTCCACCCCTCCAATCTGGGATTCCTCTTCTGGAGTTTGGGATTCAGTGGAAGCAGGAGGAGGTGGAAGAAATAATGGCTAACAAACTATGAGGGAGAGGTGGTGCTGTGCAAGCATAAACAAAAAGAAGAAAAAAAGGAACTGCAGACAAGACATTTCTGAAACATGTACCCTGAATTCCACATGAAGCCACAGCAAAGGCAAATGAAAGGGTAGCACATGCAACAGACCCAGGAAAAGGAGAAATGCCCCCGCTCCTTAGTTGACCCAAACTCAGGTTATTGCACAAGGCCCTTCACCACCCTGAGCTAACCCTGGAGGTGGCCAGCAAGACGAAGAACAGGAAGCAGGAGCATCAGAGCCAGAATACTGCCAAAGAGCCCCCTACTAAGCTTTCCCCTTAGCAAGAGCTTTCAAGACCTCAAAACCCCATTAGGTTATTTAATACATTTGCACTTAATACATTAGGTTTACTCCTTGACTGTATTTAAAAAGCCACCACAGCATTTTCTTATCAAGCCTACTGTTTCAGGAGAATCAATACAAATCAATACATCCTCTGTGCTAACCCATTTCCTAACAGTCACAATCATTACCATTCTCTTTGACTTCACCATAGAAATTGGACCCTGGAAGCAACTGCTTCCTAGCTGTGTACACCAAACAAGAACCCTCTTTTCCAGCAAAGGCCCAGCTGAGCCAGCACACAGCGAAGGAAAGAACAGCAAGCCTGCTTATTTCAGGCATGGGTTCCAATCCACGGGAGGAAATGGCAACGACCTCACACATATATTCAGGACTCCTGGAGCTTCAGGAAGCAGCTTTCAGTTGGAATACCTGAGCTGAAACATTAACTATACATATATAAACTTCTGCACAGATAACCCTTTTTTTTTTTTTTAGAATGTAAAATTTCTTTTTCACATTGTCTTCCTGCATTTATGCAGATAAGTTAAGAAATATATAGAGTGACACACCTAGAAGTGTACACAACCCTCCACCCAAACCAGCAGCCTCTGCACTTAAACTGCCCCACAGTTCACAACGGTACGAGCATCACAAGATTATTCAGAGAGCCATGAAGATGTCGCCACTGGTAACACTGCTAAAAAGGGTCAGCTTTTTTTGTGTGGCCAGCGGCAGAGCCCTCTGGCTTTGGAATGTAAGTGGAAAATCAGCAAACTGCACCAGCAACAAGGATTCTAAATCTGGGATGAGGATGCCTATCTCTTTCTGTTCCCTCTACCATACAGACATGGCACAGGCTCATACAGTGGAACGATGCTGTAAAGTGAGAGCAGCTTGGCGTTCCCAAATGAGTCTCCTCTCACCAGGACGTTCATTCGGACACCAATACGAAATCTAAGGCTTGGTGGATCTCACCAGGTCAAATAAATGTGATCCCTGTTTCTCCTCTCAAATGTCTCATGCTCCAGGCAGGATTCAGCATTGCACTTCATTGCTTGCCCAACCAAGTCTTTGTGGACGGAGAGATAAGACACAAGGGTAGTGTGGTGGGTGGAGGGGGTGTATGTCTGGAGCTCCCCTTCCGTAAACCCTTCTGACGTGCCGCCAGCAAAAAAATGAACCCACAAAACTCTCCCTCAGACCCCAACAAGCTGGGACACGATCAAGACCGGGAATGGTTGGTGCCTCATCTTTCATTTTATGCTGATGGCCAGATTGGAAGAGGGTGAGCTTCTGTGTTGAAGACATACTTATCGAGGTTTATCAAGTCCACATCGTCAGAGAAGAGCAAGAAAAGATACTTGAGCGTTTCCCCCAGGAAAAAGCTTTCCATCTTGTCCCTTGGCTCCGGGTTGCTGGTGCTCTGGACGTTGTTGATGGACGTGTAGCCACCAGTGGGGACCTGGGCAGAAGGATCCCAAGAAAAGAAACCTGAGCATGGGACTGCTCCCTGCCTAGAGCCATTTGGTTATTGCTTGGCAAGTGTAATGACACACACACCTGCACCAGCCATTCCCCACCCCCTACACGTTAGGTTTCCAAATCCCATGTTTCCTACTTCATGAGGGAAATGGGGGAGGGTTGTGCACAGGAGGACAGCCTCCAAGAATGTCGTCTTTCCTGCACTGCCTGGTGTTATGCACATGACTGCCTTGAATGTTCTAAGCCAGCCTTCTTCAACCTGGTGTCCTCCAAGTGTTCCAGACTACAACTCACTGTGCTGGAGGCTGATGGGAGTCGCAGCCCAAAACGTCTGAAGGACACCAGGTTGGCAGAGGCTGGCCTGGACAGCTAACACAAGCTGGGAAAGTGAGATAAGGTAAAGGGTAAAGGGACCCTTGACCATTAGGTCCAGTCGTGGACGACTCTGGGGTTGCAGCGCTCATCTCGCTTTAGTGGCCAAGGGAGCTGGCGTACAGCTTCCGGGTCATGTGGCCAGCATGACTAAGCCGCTTCTGGTGAATCAGAGCAGTGCACAGAAACACCGTTTACCTTCCCGCCGGAGAGGTACCTATTTATCTACTTGCACTTTGACGTGCTTTTGAACTGCTAGGTTGGCAGGAGCAGGGACCGAGCAACGGGCGCTCACCCTGTGGCGGGGATTCGAACCGCCGACCTTCTGATCGGCAAGTCCTAGGCTCTGTGGTTTAACCCACAGGGCCCGCGTCCCATAAGGAAAAGTGAGATAATAATCTTTAAAAACAAACACCTTAAGAACATCCCTACTGGATCGTACCAAAGAACACATCAAGGCCAGCCACTTGCTCCCAACAGGGGCCAGCCAGTTGCCTCTAGGTAAAGTCCTCAAGCAGGGCATAAAGACAACGGGCTTCCCCTGCTGTTGCTCCTCAGCAAGTGGTCTTAAAAGCTATGCTGCTTCTGAACATGGAGGCTTCATTTAGCCACTATGACTAATAGCCACTGGATTTCTCATGCACACACACACAGCCTTTAAAGTTAATTAAGCTCAAGGCCTTCACATTTTGCGGCAGCAAATTCCACAAATCAGCTGTGCATCGTATGAAGATATGGACCAAGGCTGCCCAAGACCTTCTAAAGCACAGCCCAGAGATCTGCTTTACCCGTGTGTATTTATTGAAGCTCTGCAATATCTCCCAGCCCCAATCCTGGTACTTCTTATCACCAGTGAATCGATACAGGTAGAAAAGGCTCTCCACTGTCTCAGGGCGCAGAAGATTGTGCCTGTCCGCTGCCTGGGGTAGGGAAAAAAAAAAAAAGAATTATAGAAGAAGAAAGGGACCATTTGTAGCCCCACATCCCTCAGCCCTGAGGGGTGTGGGTGTGTGTTGGCCTCTCCTTCCTCCATTTTACCATATCCTTACTTTTCTTGATCTAAAATGTTTGCAATATACCTACTGAGCAGGTCCGTTTTTAAAATGTATCTATGCATGCCAGAGTATACATCCCTAATAGGTGCTTGTAGCACACAACAGCTAGTAGCTTGCTTATTTATTTTCTTAAGTTATTCATTTTATTGCATTTGTCACCTCATAACATTGTTCTCTTAGCTGGTCTCTTAATAAATAAGAAAACAACATGAATGCAAAGATGTCAGGAAACCACAAAAGCAAAACTCAGTTCTACCCCGACACAGAGCTAAGAATCACAAGGCCCAGGTGACACCAGCTAACCATTTAATAGGTCCCAGTTGAATAGAAAGCTTCTCATGGCGTTAAAACACCACAAAAATGGTGCCAGGCAAGCTGCCCAGGGAAGACTCTTCCAAAGGACCTCTCACTGGTACTTACCATGAAGTTGAACAGTTGCTAAGAGACTCAAAGCTACAAACTGGGACTCTCAGTGCAGGGAGAGAGCATCGCCCTCAGTGGCAGTGCGATCCCGGTGGGGTGCCATTGTGGCTGCCCCTCCGGCGTGCACTGGGCACCCCGCCCCTACAGGCAGTGTGCCACGTCCCCAGGACACGTGCCAGCCTTGCCGCCACCTGCTCTCCACCCCCTGGTGCCGGAGATGCTCCGCCACTGTCTCAAGTACAGGCATACCTCGGGTTACAGACGCTTCAGGTTGCGCGTTTTTGGGTTGCACACTGCACTGAACCTGGACGTACCGGAACAGGTTACTTCCGGGTTTCGGCGCATGCGCAGAAGTGCTAAATCGCACTTTGCGCATGCGCAGAAGCGCCAAATCACAACCTGCGCGTGCGCAGGCGTGGCGCTGCGGGTTACAAACGTGCCTCCCACACGGATCATGTTCGCAACCCGAGCGTCCACTGTATCTTCTCTCTAGATGGTCTTTAATAAAGCAGAACCTCTCAGTTTTAGGACCCCCCAAAAAAATAACAATATCGGAGTAATACGGTTGTAAGAAGAACAGATGGAACACATGGACCAACAGTCAAACCTTGTATGTTGGTGCATCTGTCCCACTTCTGCCTGCAACAGCAGCAACCAGAGGCTGAGCAGCTGTGCCTCTGCCTCAGGTTGCTTTCTGCCACGCTTGTAAGTGGAGGTGCTGGGGGTGGGCCTTGGGCCTGTAAGCTTGCTGGGGTGGAGAGATGGGAGAGTGGAAACTTTGCTGAAGTCAAGAGGACACAGCAGTCCTGCTGCTTATAAAGGAAGGGGGTCCATGGAGGAAAAGGGTGTTAGATTCACTCAGGGCTGAGATTCCACCCCCCCACACCTGCTGAGTTGCTCACCTTTATCTCCACATCCTTCCGGTCCTTTTGCGCATGCATGTTGAAGTGGACAATCTCTGGGCTCAGGCCCGTCTCCACTTGCGCATACATCTGGTAGCAGGTTTCTGCCAGCTCCACTGCCAAGGCCATGTGGTCCGCGGGGAGCCCATTGTGGGCACCAAGAGCCAGGGCTCCGGGCAAGAAGCAGACCAGGTGATCCTGCTCAGGAAATACATGACAAGAGTTAGGAAGAACCAAATCTCTCTAGGAGTTTTCAAAGTCTATGCTGGGGCGGGGAGACTTCTCTGGCAATCTACCTGCAAGGAGCCCTGATACAGAACAAGAGGACATTGAAAAGGGTTCTTGGGCATGTGCTCCATTTGGATGGGGTAACGGACAGGTCGACCGGGTCCCTGCATTTCAATGTGGGGTTTTTTTTTACTATATATACTGCTTTCCTGACAGTGCACTTGGGGGTGTAAATTAAAAATAAAGGCTTATGATCTTAATAGAGACAACCCAGAATGAAACGAGGATAGGGAGGGAAGAGGAAGAATGCTGCCAGACATGAGCTGAAGATTGTACCCTAGGATGCAGCCGGCAGTTCCCTGTGGCTGTGCAATGGACTGAGGAGTAAAAGCCCAACCGTTTTCATGGGAGCTACTCCTTGAATGAACCGGTGAAAAGTTTATGAAGTGCCCCAGAGCCTAGAAAAAGACAGATCTACAACACTAAGAGGGCACCCACCAAAATGTGATAGTGCATTGACAAATTCAGCTCGTTTTATCAGTGGAATTAAGATTTTGTTTGGGGAATAGAAAGGAAAAATTTGGCTAGCAGTCCACACACACTCAGAACTATATCCCATTGTATTCAGTGGAGATCACAGTCAAGAAAGGATGTACAGGATTGCTGCCTAACTTTCATGAAAAAGGAGGAGAGGTGCAAGCCTTTTACAAAGTCAAAGACCAGGACACCCTTACAGATAAAAAAGGGTGAAGTCTGGTGGTTCAGGGAGGAGCAAAATGGAAAAAGGAATTGGACCTCTTTACAGAACAGAGCGGTCAAGAGAAAACAATGTTAACAAATAGCTCTCCCAGCCATGGAAAGCAAGCCCACCATTTTAGCGCTGAAGCGGCCATGAGCAAGTTCACCAACAAAAGTCAGTCTCCTTGGTTGCGATTTCCGGAGAAGGTGCATCTTCACCCCCTCGACACCCTTCACGTAATCTTCCAAAAGCCTGACAATTATAAACACACACACACGTCAGGAGGGCTTGGCTTTTTAAGCACTGTGACTGCTGTCAGCAGAGGCAGACAAGATACCACCCAGAGCCCTTTCACACTTCCAGCCTGTGTGACATTCACATTTACCTTGTGTGTGTCAATCTGTGAATGAACTGTCACAGGTCTCAGAGGAAAATGGCTTTTTCAGAACAGGGAAACAAAAATTAGTTTAAGACAGCCTTATGCAAACTGGCACCCTTCCAGATGCTTTGGACCACAACTCCCATCAGCCCCAGCTGCACTACTACCAGCTCTAGCATCATACAGTCATGCTGGCTGGGGATGATGGGAGCTGTAGTCCAAAGCATCTGAAGGGCACTAGGCTAGGGAAGTCTGGTTTAGGAGGATTATGAAATGCCTGGGGGAGTGGACAGATTTCCAACATGCTGTTGCATTTCCATCCAGGTCACTCAATAGTCTGCCTCTATACAGAGGCCACAGATCTTCAGCAGGCCCCTTGATGCCCACCTATTCCCCACTTCCAGCAAAGTTCAATGTAATCTAGAGTTTTTAAAAAAGAAAGGAGGCGATGGGGAAAAGTAAAAAGGACTTACTCATTTTCTTTCTTCCCTCCCTGGATCCATTGCTTGAGCAGGTACTCATAGTAGCTGTCTGCTCGGGCTCCAAGAGTATAGACCCCCAAGTGGGTAAACTGCCCACTGTTGGTGTTGATGAACATAGGCACCAAGCCGTCGTTCTTGCCAGCAAGGGTGTGGACATGTTTCATCACCCCATCCACTGCTTTCTACATGTACAAACAAGGGAGACTCATTTGTACGCTTACACAACCCCCACCCCCCAGGGAAAAGTACAAAAACAGATGGACTGAATTTCAAATTTTGATTTCTCAGAGACAAGCGAAAATGCAAGAACAGCCTTGCTGGACCAGGCCAAGTATCCATGCAGCCCAGCACCCTGCTTCCAATGGTGGCTAGCAAAGTGCCTCTCTCTCAGTGGCCGCAAGACTTCCTAGGCAACAGTCCCCTCCAGTTGCCCGTTCTCAGAATCTAATACTTAGAGGTATACCAGATCTAAACAAGAAGGCCTGCATTTGCTAGCTGGGCTAATAGCCATGGACAAGCCTGTTCTCCATGCTCATTTATTTTCCTGGCATAAACAGTAACTATTACCTTGCCAAAAGAGAAACTACTTTACACTGCATTTTAATAGAACCTTAAATCCTGCTGCATTTGGTTACTGGAAATACTGGGGGTGGTTTGGAATCGTTGGGATCATATCAGACAATTCTCTCTCCGACCCCTCCCTCCCACCTGTTCCATTCTGGGTGTCTTAGCTTAAGCGCCCGAGTCTATATAGCATAGGAATGATATATGTCCCAGAAGCTATTTATTCCCACTTCTGGCCTGCAAAAGTCAGGATGGCATGGCTGAACATTCCCATTTTCTGGCAAGGGATGGAAGGGGGTGGGACTAGATGGCCAATGGTCCCCCTCTGCACGCCATCAGAAAAGGAAGGAGCGAAGAGCTCACCAACAGCTATACCTGAAATTTCTCTTCCCCAGTAAGGCGCGAAAGCTCCCTGAACTCCAGCTGGATGCTGGTCACCTCTGCTACGGTGCTATCCGATGTCCAGCGAGGAGGATGCGCTGTGCCCCGGCCAATGTTGACATCCGAAAATGGAATTTTAGATGGGGTGTTGAAGGCCGGCATGAGCCTGCTCCCAATATCTTTCTGAACAGTTGAGAATATGTGGTATTGGCAGAGTGGGGTGGGGGAAGAGACAGGAGGAGAAGAGAGAACAGCCAATATCATTTTATTATTCACCGTGAGCAAAAACCATTTTGATGAATCACAGAACTGTAGGGTTGGCAGGGCCCCAAAGGGCCATCTAGCCCAATCCCATGCAATGCAGGAATAAGCTAAATTGGCAGATAAATCAGTCTGCAAGGCATTGCCATGTTGCTACTGGACTTGGGATTGCCACCTGGAGCCGAGTGCTTCATTGAGTTTGTTTGCCTTGTGCAGGTTCAAACTTGCTATTCTACAAGCCACCAGAGTTGGTTTGCTGTATGTACCAAAGGGGATTATTTCCAGTCATGCATTCAGTTAATAGGGCTGTCATCAGCCAGACCCACTGGACCTCACTGTCACACCTGATAAGTAAGGAAGGCACCTAATGCAATACAGAAATAGAGAGAGATAGTAGTCATGGGAGACTTCAACTTCCCTGATATCTGTTGGAACTCAAATTCTGCCACGAATGAAAGGTTCAACAAATTCCTCCACTGCATCACTGACAATTTCATTTCTCAGAAGGTGGAAGAAGCAACAAAGGGATCATCTATTCTAGACCCGGCCCTCACCAACAGGAAGGAACTGATTGGCGAAGTGGAAGTACTGGGAAACTTGGGAGGAAGTGATCATGTCCTCTTGGGTTTCATGATACAGAGGCAAGGCGAAGTTGAGTGTAGTTGGACATGCACTCTGGACTTTAAGAAGGCCAGTTTCGAAAAGCTGAAGGAGCTACTGGGTGAGATCCCATGGTCAGAAATACTCAAAGAGAAGGGAGACCAACATGGATAGGAGTTTCTAAATGGAGAAATATTGAAAGCCCAAAAGCAGACAATACCAACAAGAAAGAAAAGTGGGAGGCATCTAAGGAAAGCAGTGTGGTTGCACAAGGAGCTTACAGATGAGCTGAGAGTTAAGAAATGGAAGAATTGGGCAATCACAAAGGAGGGGTAACAAGAGTAGCCAACAGTTGCAGGGTGAAGGTCAGGCTGGCTAAAGCTCAGAATGAGCTCAGGCTTGCGAGAGATGATGATGATGATGATGATGATGATTAATGTTTATTCTGCTAAGTCTGAAGCTAGAGGAAGAACAAGCAATTGTTGGTCCTCTACGTACGGAAGGCGGAGAAATGCTATTGGGTGACAAAGAGAAGGTGGAACTACTCAGTACCTACTTTGCCTCTGTCTTGACCCAAAAGGAAAGTGATGCCCAACCTGGTGATAACAGAATAAATGATGCAAGTAGAGAGCTGCAGCCCAAGATAGGAAAAGAGGTAGTAAGGGAACACTTAGGTACTTTGATTGATTTCAAATCTCCAAGGCCTGATGAGTTGCACCCAAGGGAACTAAAGGAGATTGTTGATGTAATTTCAGAGCCTTTGTTTATGATCTTTGAGAAATCTTGGAGAACAGGTGAGGTCCCTACAGAGTGGAGGCAGGCAAATGTCTCAATCTTCAAAAAGGGGGGAAATAAGACCTAGGTAACTACCGACCAAGAAGATCAAACCTCTCCATTCTGAAGGAAATCAGCCCTAAGTGCTCACTGGAAGGACAGGTCGTGAAGCTGAGGCTCCAGTACTTTGGCCACCTCATGAGAAGAGAAGACTCCCTGGAAAAGACCCTGATGCTGGGAAAGATGGAGGGCACAAGGAGAAGGGGACGACAGAGGACGAGATGGTGGGACAGTGTTCTCGAAGCTACCAGCATGAGTTTGACCAAACTGCAGGAGGCAGTGGAAGACAGGAGGGCCTGGCGTGCTCTGGTCCATCGGGTCACGAAGAGTTGGACATGACTAAATGACTAAACAACAACAAAACTACTGACCAGTGAGCTTGACAATGATACCAGGAAAGGTCCTATAAGAGATAATTCAACAGTTGGTCTGTGAGCATGTAGAAAAGGATGCTGTGATTACTAAGATTTTGCATGGGTTTCTCAAAACAAGTCATGCTAGATGAATCACACTTATTTGATGAGAGTCACAAGCTTGATGGATCAGAGGAACGCTGTGGACATAGTGTATCTTGATTTCAGTAAGAGTGCTGATAAAGTCCCCCATGATATTCTTCCGAGAATGCTGATAAAATGTGGGTTGAATGAGGTAACTGTGAGGTGAATTTGTATCTGGTTGACTGACTGAATCCAAAGAGTTCTCATTAGTGGTTCCTCGTCATCCTGAAGAACAAGGACAGGAAGGGTGCTGCAGGGTTCTGTCCTGGGCTCATTGTTGTTCAGTGTCTTTATTAACAATGACTAGGACTAAGGAATTGAGGGGATGGTAATCAAATTTGCAGATGACACCAAGCTGGGAGGGGTAGCTAATTCTGCAGAATACAGAATTGTGATTCAAATGACCTTAAAACAGATTGCAGAACTGGGCCCAAACTAACAAAGTGAATTTCAATAAAGACAAATGAAAGGTTCTGCACTTAGGCAGGAAGAACAAGTTGCACTAATATAAGACGGGACAGCTGGCTTACTAGCAGTACACGTGAAAATGACCTAGGGATCATAAATTTAACGTGAGACAACAGCGTGATGCAGCAGCAAAAGAAGCCATCACTATTCTAGGCTGCATCAACAGAAGTAGTGCTCAGATGAAGGGAAGTACTAGTCCCACTCCATTCTGCCTTGGTCAGACCACACCTTGAATACTGTGTCCAGTTCTGGGAACCAAATTTAAGGAGGATGTTGACAAGCTGGAACATGTGCAGAGGAGGGCAACCAAGATGATCAAGGGTCTGGAAATCAAACCTTATGAGGAACAGTTGAACAAGCTTGTTTTCTCCTGATCTGGAGAGTAGGACTCGAACCAATGGCTTTCAAGCAGAGGTCGGATGGCCATCTTTCATGGATGCTTTAGTTGAGATTCCTGCATTGCAGGGGGTTGGGCTACATGACCCTAGGGGTTTCTTCCAACTCTACAATTGTATAATGCGGTCAGCGGCTATGTGCTAGCTGCCTTTCATGGAAAGCTATCGACCATCTCCAGTCTTGCCCTGGAGAATCCCCCACAATCCCTGTCATGCCATTTCAGAACTACTGAGCTAGCCAGCCTTGGAGGTCGGGCCCTCCATCACGAAGCCTGTTTTCTGAACGGGGCAGGGGCATTCTGGGGCTGCCAAAGCCAGTACTGACTTGCTGGGGTCCAAAGAGCTGCTTCAGAAGGGCCTAAGGGCTCATGCCTGACATTTTAGAACAGACCCACACCCCTGCTATATAACGCAATATTACCAAGGGCTCTTGACATTTCCCTCAGTTTCAAACACAGCTTGCCTTTAAACATAGAGCAGGGCAGGGGGTAGGGGGAGAGGGTAGCTATTCAAGAAGCAAAAGTGAACAACTCTTTCAGGGATATCAAAGAAGCTAAGTGGTTTGCTGCATCCAAGCTCAGCAACCAAACAGAATGTCACTAATGCTCATCTTTTGCTTGACAGCTAGATCTGCCACGGGTGGGCTGCTCTGAAGTGTCACTGGGAGGAGAACAGGCAAAGCAATATTCTCCAGACTCAGGTACTGGACTGCAGCTCCCATCGTGCCTGACCACTGGCCGTTTCAGTCCACAACATCTGGAGGGCACCAGGTTGGGGGAGGCTGCCTTTGAGGGTCTCCCTCATGACATCCACAGCACACAAAAGGATTTCCCCAATCCTTGGATTTGCAGAGCCCTTTATCAGCAAGTGTCCTCCTGGCTCTCACTGGATTGAGAACTCGAACTCGGAGTGCAGTCTCTGCCAATATCTTCAATGCTCAAGTCAGTGTGGCACAAAACAGGGTTCAAAGAAACAACGGGTGCTATGTCTGGCTAAGCAAATGAAGACAAGCACAAACACAACCTGGGTCCCGTTATGTGGGATTTTCATTGTTACGCTTTTTTACATTAACATACACCAAATACAATACATTAACATTGACTTCCCTTCCCCCCATTGCATGGTTCCTTTTAAATTTCCCTTGCTGTTTCATATTCCATTCACTCTGTATCCTATTTTATCCATTTTATCTCAACACAATTTATGCTGCTGAAATTTACTCTAATCCTGCTAATCTTTGAATTTGTTTACAATGATTCTTCATATATTCAACAAACGTTTTCCAGTCTTCCTTGAATACCCTTTCTTCCTGATGAGTGCCTAACTTCTCCTAAGAGGATGAGCTGGAGTGGACTCTGGCGGTGCAGCAGAGGTGTCATGATCAGAGGCGAGACTGGCACTGGAGCTGGCGGTTGTGGAGTGGACGCAGCACTCCCAGGTGACGCGGGAAGGGGACAGAGCAGAGTGCTGGGAGGCTACAGCACCGGGACCCTCCCCAAGATTGGATTCCGTCCTCTCAAGGCCCAGGCACAGCCTGTCTCCCCAGGGTCACCAGCAGGCAGCTCCTCCAACACCCCAACCCTCTCCTGGTCTGACCGCTCTCTCTACAGTTTCTCTATGGGGCTCATGACAAGGTGGCAGAGGTGAGTATGGAAAACATCCAATTAGCCACTGTAAACAGGCACTGGTTTTAAACTGGCTTCCCTCAGTTTTCAGTTCCACAGGGCTGCTACTTTCTCAAGAGTGCCAGAAACATTCAGACATTATTGTGGGGATTTGGCAGCAGCAGCGGTGGAGTGGGGGACGTTGGTTGTTGTTGGACTGCAGGATCACACGGTTACTTACAGCTTTTTCTAGGAAGAGGTTGTCCCCCGTGAGGTGGTAAGTGCTCAACAGGCCCCCAAGGATCCGAATGGCGCTCTCAAATAGGTTGACATCCACATTTTTGTTGAAGTTGAGGTCAGTGGCAACCCACTTCCTTGCTTCTTTGAACTCTGCATTGGGGAAGGGAGTCAAGAGATTTGTCAACGGAAACCCTGCACCAAGGTTTTCTGGGCTGCTGGGAAAGGGAAGACTCAGGAAAGCCCCCCACCCTCATTCTTAAGGCCACATCTGGGAGTGGCTCCTGCCCACCTGGATGCCAGGTAAAAGAGCAGCCCCCCCCAAGGTGCTGAACACAGGTTTCCTTTGTTGGCCTAGGAGCAGGAGAAGCTGCCTTTATGCCCATTCAGGAAATGGGTCCATCTAGTCCAGTGCTGCCTACTCTAACTGGCAACAGCTGTCCAGCTTTTCATGCAGAAAAGTGTATTTGCCATCACTTGTCACCTGGACCCTTTTAACTGGAGATGATGCCAGTGCCTTCTGCATCTGCAGAGTGTGCTCCGCAGCAGCTATGGCCCCTGCCCAATATAGCTCTCTACCATTCATGCCTGTGGAAGTGGGTGGGGGTAGGGGACAGGTGATGCTCTCCACAGCAGACATGGTCAACCTGGGGCTGGGGGCCCAAACTAAATCCCCTCCCCCAAACAAAAGACAAAAAAGAAAATCTTCTGCAGCTACAGCAAAGTGTGCTAATATTCAAGGTAATGTGCCAGCTCTGGAAGAAAGGTTCTTGCTCCTCAGATAACACTGGCGGAACAAGCGGAACAATGGAAAGGAGGGCATTGCCTCACTCCGAATGTGCCCATTTGACCACTCTGATCTGCAGATCTGCCACTGTTGCAGATGCCACGTAATACCTGTTCTGCAGCTGCAATAAATCATTCTTCTGGCACAGCAATACCTGCTCTCTGGAACTCCCTGTCTATTGGCATCAGGCAAGTGCCTTCACTGTATTTTTTTTCTGCTTAAAACATTTTTGTTTGAGCAAGCCTATGAAGACACATAAAAGCAGGCATGTTTTAAATCTCTTCTTTTTGTTTACTGACTTTGCTTTTATAAATGCTTTTCATTATTTGCTTTTAATTCTCTTACTGGTGATTTCAACACTTCCCATAAACCACTCAAGAGGTTCTGCTCCGATGAAGTGGTACAGACGTTTGGTAAAATAAATCAAGGCCAAGTGAAAAAGCTGACATGGGAGAAATGGGGCAGACCTTCTTTCAAGCCCATGATCCACATGGTGTCCAGGGCATCAATGAGTGTTAGGCCAAGGCCAAACCATTCGCTGAACGACTTAGAGATGGGCTTCAGCTCGTCGTGGCCCCAGGCGAACTCCTTGTAGCCTTTCCAAGCGTGGCGGAATGCTTCTATCACTGCCATCTGGCGCTCATTGAGAGGTACTAAAATCAGAAAGCAAAAGAACACAGCTGTAGGACACAGGAAGTTAGCTGCTGGGACCAGCTCTCTGGGTTCTGTTTAGGCAAGGGCCCCCTCTGACATTGCATGATTCGCCTACTCTAGTCAACTACCAAACCATTTTTCCCCATTTATCAAACTTATTAGTTAAGCGTATAGTTAACACCGTTATTATTTATAAGGCAATTTATTTTTTTTGCTTTTTCATAAGTGTTTTGTTAGACAATATATTAATATATTATACAATACCCTTATTTTTTTTCTTTCCTTATTGTAGTGTGTGTATTTATTTATTTTTACTGTAAGTTGTTTGGAGACCTTCAGGTGACAAGTGGCTAATAAATTTGATAAATTGAGGAAACTAACAATTCAGAATGTGAAACCATGGACTGAAGCTGGCTTACAAACACTGGCTTGTGCAACCATGATTTCCCATTACTTTTTGAATGCAATGTACTGGCATGAACCTGGTTTTTTTTCAGCACCCCTCCCCAGACGCTCACATGGCTAGAGATGTGAGGCAAGAGCCATTAGAAAAGTGCAATCAGCATTAGGCAAAATTAAGGCATGGTTGCTTTGTTTATCCACAAGACTGATCCTAGTTTGTTCCAACAAACCACGGCTAAAATAAAACCGCAAAGGTAAAGGGACCCCTGACCATTAGGTCCAGTCGTGGCCGACTCTGGGGTTGCGGCGCTCATCTCGCTTTACTGGCTGAGGGAGCCGGCGTACAGCTTCCGGGTCATGTCGCCAGCATGACTAAGCCGCTTCTGGCGAACCGGAGTAGCGCACAGAAATGCCGTTTACCTTCCTGCTGGAGTGGTACCTATTTATCTACTTGCACTTTGACGTGCTTTCAAACTGCTAGGTTGGCAGGAGCTGGGACCGAGCAACGGGAGCTCACCCCGTCGCAAGGATTCAAACCACCAACCTTCTGATCGGCAAGTCCTAGGCTCTGTAGTTTAACCCACAGCGCCAGGAGTGTTAAAAAAGGTTAAAATAAACAATATTTGAATGTCACATGCAGCCATACTGTCTGAAACAAAGGGGAAATGGCAGGAAGAAAGCTTGAGCCCACATCTTCACTAATATGTCAGATAAATTAAAGAATGGAAATTGAAAAGTGTTTGAGAAGGATTGAGCTAGTGAGGGTTGGAATGTGAAGGCTGTGTTCACAACAGAACCGTGAGAGAAGGACAAAGTAGCACATAAGCAGGAACTTGAAGAAGAAGAGTAGTTTGGATTTGATATCCCGTTTTATCACTACCCAAAGGAGTCTCAAAGCAGCTAACATTCTCCTTTCCCTTCCTCCCCCACAACAAACACTCTGTGAGGTGAGTGGGGCTGAGAGACTTCAGTGTGACTAGCCCAAGGTGACCCAGCAGCTGCATGTGGAGGAGCGGAGTAACGAACCCGGTTCACCAGATTACGAGTTATCCACTACACCACGCTTATTATTATAAATTGTTGTAGGAGAAGAGATAAGGAAGTTAGAAGCCTGTTGCCATCTCTTATAGAAGCCGGTAGAAGTTAGGAGGTGGAAGTTATTGCCGTATATGGACAAACCTGACCCTTTGCTTGTAACTGTATACCATGCTTGTGCTTTTTTCATATTTGATGTGCTGCCCCCCATACTACTTGGTGGACGAGGTTGTGATGCATCGGCCCTGCAACACCTAAATAAACATCCTATTTTACTGATGACTGGCGTCTGGATTCTATTGGCCGTTCCAAGCAGCCCAGGGCATCAGGATTGAACCTGGAGAATTCCACAACAGTCTCTGTACCCAACAGACATGTCTGTTTCAGACCTGTCTGTTTTGTGTAGCAGCAACCAGAGCTGCCTGCATGGCAGGAATAAGCTTTGACCGCACCAGAGATGGGGGTTCCCCTTGACTCATTACCTGGCTCTTTAGTATCTTCGGATTCCACAGGCAAGGGCCTGTCTGGTTCCTTTATTTTGTTGGAAGGAGGTTCTGTGCCCTGGTCCGGCTCAATAACTGCTCCTCTCCAGCTGCAAAAAGAGAACTATTCAAGGAAAACCGGCTGGGTTCTGCTGTCACAGCAACGTCAGAAAGATGTACAACAAAGGCTCAGTCAAGGATTGGGGTGCTGCATACCCAAATATAGATGCTCCTCTTTTCCCAGGGGTGCAGATTTCTCCGCACAAAAGTCTCTTAAATGGTTCTCCCTTACTGCCCCTTATGCCCAGAACACTCCCAGGTCCTCTGTGGTGCCAGCATGTAGCTTCTCCTTAGTCTCAGAACTTAACCCCCAGCTGAACTGAAGCCCAGGCATCTGTCACTAGATGTTTTCCATGTTAGCTTCACATCTCCATTCCTGCTGCTCCTGCGGTTGTCTCTCCTAAAGGGTCGAAATGTGTGTTATAACTTTCTTGCAACCAAGCAATGCTCCTCCAGCCAACTACCTGATGACGGACTTCTCCGTTTTTTGTTCTTTACCAGCCTGGCCAGCTTCTCCCTCCTCCTTGACTGCTTCATCTGGGAAGTTCAACCTCGAGTCTCTCCATGGTGGCCTGATCTGCAGGTTAGGAGGTCCCCGCCGGACAGGAAGCTGCTTCGGAGGTTTCTAAGGAAATGGAGCAGAGGAAGAAAACAATGACTTCCCACCTTCCCATACACAGCTACACATACCTGTAAAAAGCCACTTGCTTTGTCACCTTTGGCAGGCAAGACTGGGAAGAAAGGGGAGACTTGGCTCGATGGCCATGTCTGTGACCATATCTGCAGGGCTGGGATAAACTGAAACTGCCCCCACCTTCAGCTCTCCCCTTTCATCTGTTGACAGGGAACTGAATCCAGCTATTTCCTAGTTTCTCAGGACAGGAAGCCCCACTGAGTCCTGGCCTCATTACTAGCCTCCATTTGCTTCTTTAAGATGAGAGGCTTCTCTCATCAGGTCAGAAGAAAACAGGCGAGTAATAGTGATGCCACTGAGGCAGGAATTTATGTATAGGTTGGGGAGTGGGGTTGCCCCTCCAGCAGATATCATGCACATGCAGCCCACTACCAAAATCAGCACAATCACTTTTGTGACTTTTGTGAGTTGTCCCCACAAAACACTTCATCACAGTTTCTTCCTATCTATTCAAAGGGCCTCTGCTGCACAATACCAAATGTAACAATTCACTGATAAATGTATCTGTGTAATGGCTCACTGGGAAAACTTCAGAAATTCATCTAGACACGTGAGCTCAGCTACTCAGCAGCCCCTCTGCCTGAGTCATAATTCCTGGCATCCTGATACCCGAGTGCCAGACAGGTAGCTGTTCCAGAAATAACAAACCCAGAGGAAGACAAAAGGGTGTAATTAACTTGGCTGGGAAACAGGGAAATGTAAAGATCTCTTTTGTTACACTTGATGGGTGTTTGGTGGAGGGCAAGGGGAACCATGGGGTAGGGTCCAGGATGCTCAGATTACGGCCACCAGACCTCCCCTTTCATGATGTAACCGTGATGTATGAGAGATGCCGTTTGGGGGTGGGTGTAAGATGGGGATTAGCAGCTAATAAAAGTTTGGGGGCTCTTTTGTTTGGGGCTTCCATCTTTTTCCACCTTGTGTCACGACAGTCTTCAAGAATGACCAAGCCTACTGGCTTCTGTTTTGCTCTGGTATCCCTGGCTGATGTCCTTGTTTTTTGTCCAAGGGAGCCCTCAGATTTCTCCGCTAACACCACCTACTGCCATGCAAAGGATCTGAAGCTCTTTGAGGGTCCCCCTTGCCTGGAAGTACAGGCAAGACTGGAAAATGGAATGTGCCTCCCACAAAAAGGGATGGAGCATGAAGCCATTTGCACAGCCCTGCCTCCAAAGCAAAAGAGAGTCATAATTGCACCACCAAATGAGACAGGATAGGGTGCTTGCCCCCCGCCCCAGCAATCCGGCCAAACCTCAGACACAGGGAAAATTCAGGACATGGACCACTTCTCTCGCCCACTTTGCCAGAGAGGTGGTATCCCAAGTGGACCTGAGCTTCCTTCGGCAGCAACCTCTGACCACACTAGGTGACACACCAGTGGCCCAGGGCTTGAGACAGGGCTGTCACCCAAAGAGACTTGCTTATGTGAGTGGTAAGCATGCAAGACTTCGTCAGCAACCTGCAAAGGACACAAGGTGGAGTCCTGGGCTGGGAGTCAAAGATTAAAGATGTGAAGCAATCATACAGGGCCTTTCGTAAACCTCAGTCTCCTTTCTGAGAAACAAAGGTGCTGGCAGAGAAGACTAGTTACGAGTCTGGCATTTCCTCAGATTAATGATTAATCAAGTTGTGTTCCAGACAGCCTTCAGAAGATAGGAAATGGTAGAAGACAAATGAAAGCCACCCTCTCCTGTTCTTCCTTTGTGGTAAAGGTAAAGGGACCCCTGACCATTAGGTCCAGTCGTGGCCGACTCTGGAGTTGCGGCGCTCATCTCGCTTTATTGGCCGAGGGAGCCGGCGTACAGCTTCCGGGTCACGTGGCCAGCATGACTAAGCCGCTTCTGGCGAACCAGAGCAGCGCATGGAAACGCCGTTTACCTTCCCGCCAGAGCAGTACCTACCTATTTATCTACCTGCACTTTGACGTGCTTTCAAACTGCTAGGTTGGCAGGAGCAGGGACTGAGAAACAGGAGCTCACCCCGTCGCGGGGATTCAAACTGCCGACCTTCTGATCGGCAAGTCCTAGGCTCTGTGGTTTAGACCACAGCGCCACCCACGTCCCTTTCCTTTGTGGTAGGGTTGTTGTATGTTAGGTACTCATAAGAACTTAAGAAGAGCCCGCTGGATCAAGCTAATTGCCCATCTAGTCCAGCATCCTGTTCTTACAGTGGCCAACCAGGTGACCTAAAGGGAAACCAACAAGCTGGATCTGGGCGCAAGAGCCCGCTCCCCTTCTGCGGCATCTAGCAACTGGCATTCAGAAGAATTACTGCTTCACTGGATGACCCCGAGTTCTAGTGTCATGAGAAAAGGAAGAAAAACTTCTCTCTATCTGTGCCGTGTATGATTTTGTAAACGTCTATCGTGTCACCTCTTACCCGCTGCAAGCAGGATTTGAGCACAGGAGCACTCTCCTCCACCCTTGTAGCTTGCAGCAACCAGCATTTAGAAAAATTGTTGTATCCAACTGTGGAGGCAGAGCATAGCTGTTGCAGCTCGTAGCTAATGATAGCCTTATCCTCCATGAATTTGTCTAATCCTCTTTTTAATCCATCCAAGCTCATGGGAAGCACTTCCTCCTGTGGGAGCTAGTTCCAAAGTTTAACTTCCAGTGGTGCATGCTCTAGTTATCTCCTGCTTGGACTACTGCAATGCGCTACCTTTGAAGGTGATCCGGAAACTACAACTAATCCAGAACGCAGCAGCTAGACTGGTGACTGGGAGCAGCCGCTGAGACCACATAACATCAGTCTTGAAAGACCTACATTGGCTCCCAGTACGTTTCCGAGCACAATTCAAAGTGTTGGTGCTGACCTTTAAAGCCCTAAACGACCTCAGCCCAGTATATCTGAAGGAACGTCTCCACCCTCATCGTTCTGCCCGGACACTGAGGTCCAGTGCCGAGGGCCTTCTGGCGGTTCCCTCGCTGCGAGAAGCCAAGCTACAGGGAACCAGGCAGAGGGCCTTCTCAGTAGTGGCGCCCGCCCTGTGGAATGCCCTCCCATCAGATGTCAAAGAGATAAACAACTACCTGACATTCAGAAGACATCTGAAGGCAGCCCTGTTCAGTTTTTAGTGTGTGACATTTTCGTGTATTTTTGGTCTTTGTTGGAAGCCGCCCAGAGTGGCTGGGGAAACCCAGCCAGATGGGCAGGGTACAAGTGATTTTATTATTATTATTATTATTATTATTATTATTATTATTATTATTATTATCATGTGCTGCATGAAAAAGTACTTTATTTTCTCTTCCTCAATCTTCCAACATTCAGTTTCACTTGATGTCTATGAGTTCCAGCAGTATGGGAGAAATAAAACTTTTCTGTATCCCCTTTGTCCATGCCATACATCGTTTTATAAACGTTCATCATGTCACCTCTTACTCACCTTTTCAAAAGGGAGCATTACTAAAGGAAGTCTGATGTAAAATACACATTTTAAAAAGCACAATTCGCCAAATAATAAAATATTACCATACGTTTAGATACAGAGGGTGTTTCCTGTGTGTTAGGCTGCTACCCCCCAACCCTCTAGATTCCAAAAAAGACAATGTGGAGAGAATTACTTGAAGTGAAAAATCCCCCTGATTGGCATCAGCGTTTTGTGGAATTGGAAGAACTGCCTGATTTGCTGGCTTCAACCCAGGGACCTCCATATAAGTCTTTTGTTCCTCTGAAGCTCTGCTGGTTAGACCTGGAAAGAGAAATTAACTGCAGTGAATGCCACCTGATGCAACATAATGAAATGAACGTCCAAGACTCCTGGTAAGATCTCATCCAGTTAAACATGTTTACATGCTGGCTTCAGGCTTACCAGAACAATAAACAAAACCATGGAAACCAAATCATTGTGCCCTGTCCAATGTATCTTGCTCCCACAACAAAAATCACCCACCAAGAAGAACTGGCATAATTTCTTTTTCCTTACAAATTAGCCCAAAGAGCTGAGACCGGGTTTGATCTTTCGATTCATTCATTATTGCAGTCAGGGCTGATGACAGGGCAGCAGGTGCAGCTGGGGCCCGGCGGTCCAGAGGGGGTACTCACTAACTTGAACATGTTTTATGTAACATATTAACAAAATATGTATTTCATCTTCAATGCACGCACAATTCCAAAATAATAGCTTGCAAACTTTTGCAGTGAACTAAGCATCAACAGCAAGTTAGCTCCATCAGCAGAGCAAAAGACTCTTAATCTAATGGTTGTGAGTTGAGCCTGCACTGCAGGGGGCTGGACTAGATGACCCTTGTGGCCCCTTCCAACTCTGTGATTCCCCTCCCCATTGCCATTTCTATATATTCTATTAACTTTGTCTGCCATTCTCCCTTTGTTGGTATTTTATCTTCCCTCTATCTACCATCCATGCAGCTGTAGTAGCATACATAAAAAGAGATTTGTGGTCCCTGGGTATATTTTCATCTGTTATGCCTAAAAGAAAAGCTTCTGGGGTTTTAAACATTTTTTGCAACTCATCATTTCCCAGAAGTTTTTAACCATTTCGTATGTCAACCATATATGATAAAATGTGCCTTCTTTTTCTTTACATTTCCAACAACTATCAGTTTCAGTTTTATACATCTTAGCTAATTTACTTGGCGTTAAATACCACCTATAGATCATTTTCATATGGTTTTCCTTCAGTGTGTAACATGCAGTAAATTTTAGATATTTTTTCCATAATTTCTCCCAGGCACTCATTTCTATATCATGCCCTTTATCCCTTACCCAATGGATCATATATTTTTTAACCCATTTTACCAATTCATTTACCCAACGAATTTTACCAATTCATCTTTTGTCTCCCATTCTAATAGTAGTTTATACATTTTATAAATTATTTTTCTTTACTATCAATAATCTCTCTTTCAAATTGTGAACTCTGGGCCAAAAAACCCCTTCTTTTGTCCAGTTTTAACACATCATTTATTTGATGATACTGTAACCAATCCATCACCACTTGTCCAAGTCCCTCCTTTTTAAAATCTTACTACTTCTGAAAAGTCCAAGAATTCTCTATAAGTTGCCCAGTGTCCTTCCATGTTACACCAACGCTATGATTCTATGATTTCTGAGTATTTCCAACCATCTACGAACATTCGCTTCTACGCTTTGACAATATGACAGCACAGTCTCATCTTACGATGTGGGTTTTTGTAAGTGAACACCATGCGAATACAGTCATACCTCATGTTACGTTTGCTTCATGATACAATTTTTCAGGTTGCGTCCCGCAGCGACCCAGAAGTACTGGAAAGGGTTACTTCCAGGTTTTGCTGCTCGCGCATGCGCACAAAATGACATCATGCACATGTGCAGAAGTGGCAAATCGCAACCCGCGTGTGCAAAGACGTGCAGACACGGGTTGCATTCTTTTCAGGTTGCGAACGGGCCTCTGAAACGGATCCCGTTCACAACCAGAGGCACCACTGTACAATGAAGTACAAGTTGAATGTTTCAAGTGTTTGACTAGTTCAGCAATGACTGTGTAGATGCTTATATGCTTATACTACTGATATAAGTCATTAGGATCTTAACATTCTCAGCAGGTACAAAAACATCTCATTTATTATTGACACCCAAATGAGATCATGAATTTGTTTTACATCCCATGTAAATACTTTCTAGCCAATATGCCCTTGATTAGGGAGGCCTGGGGTGGGGTGGGGATTTTCAGCACTGCTGATTTCAGTACACAAAAGAAGCAGAACAGCCTCTGAAAATAAGCAAAGATGCCCTTAATTTTTCTCCAGTGGTTGCTGCTTTAAAACTGGCCTCCCACCAATGAAGGGCCTCTTCCTTTTGCATATAGAACCCTCTCTGTGTATAGAACTTTCCAAACCTGTCCTGAGTTTAGGATGAAAGCTTTAGTTGCTTTTTAAGAATTACAAATCTGCAACCTTGCTAAGCTGCAGAAAAGCTAAGTAAGTGAAATAGACCTACTTTTCCAGGGTTCGGACATGTTTGCGTAAGTGATGACTCCGCAGACAGCCAGAAAGGCGAACAGGAAGAGGATCAAGCTCCGCTGGAGGCGGGACAGCTGCTTCCATTTCTGAGGTTGAAACAATAGAGATAGAGATCAGAAATGCAAATAACTGCGCTATTTATATAGCAATAAATAAATAATGCCAAAAACTCACAAGTCTAAATCAGAAAAGAACTCTAGCTCATGACATGAATGCATTGACACCACAGGTCTCCGTGTAAGTTTTCACAAGCTGCACTAAACACGTCCCAGTTTGTATCTCCCTTTTCACTCTACACAGAAAAGCAAAGATGAATCTCTGAAGCAATTATGTAGACAGTGTTCCTTTGCCACATATAAAACTTTACAATAAAAGTGGGCAGACTTCAGCTTTGCTGGATCCACTTTGCTTTTCTACTGGAACCCCAAGATCGACCATAGCAAAAACAAAATATTAGAATGAAAGACTTCTGAGCCCAGGAACTTCTTATGAGAACCAGAACTGAGCTGAGCACACAGCCCTTCTACATAAAATATCCACTCTGGGTTCCCGCCTCCCTAGTTTTCAGTATTTCAGCAATATTTGGGGTAAATTTGTTGATGCCATTGTTAGGAACACAGGATCTTGCAACATTTAGTGAGTATTATAATAAAGGAAGAAAAACTTTTCTCTATCCACTTTCTTCATACCAAGCATCATTTTATAAACTCCTATCTTGCCACCTCTTATTGGCTTTTTTTTCTAAATTAAAAAGTCCCAAATGCTGCAAACTTCCCTCATCGGAAAGTCACTCCACCCCCAACCCCAACCCCCTGATAATTTTGGTTGCCCTCCAACTCTACAATAACATTTTTGTGGCAACCAGAACTGTACACAGTAAATTTTTAAGCAACTGGGAGTGAGAAATCATTCTTGGTGTTCTTCAGATTACCCAGAGATCTAGCAGTGGATCCCAATCCACCTACAGATCCTGACTTATTTTCTGCCCCACTCTGCTCTATCGTATAATACAGTGTACACACACACACACACACACACACACACACACCCTTATAGAAGGACTTTAAATCTGAAATTTAACTGTTGGGAGGGAGGAGGGAAGGGAAAAGGAACAAATTGCAAGCAAAAACAGTTAAACAACTTAAATTGTGCTGTGACTGTGGAGAAAAAGTTAGAGCAGAAGAGCGGTCCTGCTGGCTCAGACTGACCAATCCAAGACTCGGTTCCAACAGAGGCCAGCCAGAAGCCTCTTGGAAAGTCCGAAACAGGAAATACAACAGCCTCCCTGGCCCCTCACTGTTGTATGCCTCCAGCATCTCCTCCAACTTCTGAACACAGATCCTAAATAAAAACCACTGGTATAGTTCCACAAAGAAGAAGAATCCAGCTGAAGGTCCACCTAGTGCGACACCCTGCTTCCAACAGCGGCCAGCCAGATATTTCCAGAAAGCCCACAAGCAGGGCAGGAGGGCAAGAATATCCCTCCCTCTGGCACTCAAGATGCACACTGCCTCCTAGCATGGAGGGTCTATGCAGCCACCATAGCTATTCTGCTACGGAGGGATTAGAAAGGAGAGTTTATAAAGGGGAGCAACATGAACCTTCCTTGTCCCACGCGCCTCCACAACTGCCCCGATTTCACTGCACTTGGGCACCTCCCTCTCTTGTCAGCATCTTGCCTAAAACAAAAACAAAAAATGCCAGAGATTTCTCTTACGTACAGCACAGCTCATGAGATCTGGATCAAGGCCGCTTCTTGACTTTTTCATGGCTTAAAAGCAACAGCTGTCTGAGGAAAACACAGAGCCAGTTCTCTGTTCAAAGTTTCTTTCTCGAAAAGGAAGCTGCCAGGGCTAATGCCACCTCTCTGTTTCCTGTCGCACCCCAGAGGTCTGTCTTTTGTTGTTGTGATGATTCAGTGGGGAGAGAAAGGCACCCTGCCTACACCTTGAAGGTACAGCACCTGCTGCCAGCATCATGAACTGATGCAAGTTGCTTTGGAGAATAAATGTTGGTCTGAAAATCAAGGGGAGGGGGGAGAATAAATAGGAGAAAAGCCAATCAATGACTACCAATTGTGATGGCTGTATTGAGCCACCAGATTTCAGAGGCAGCATGGCTGAGTATCAGTTGCTAGGAAGCAACAATGGGAGAGGGGAGTTGTATTTATGCCTCACATGTGGACTTGGGTAAGTGGCTGGCTACTGGGGGAAGAGGATGCTTGACCTGACAGGCCCCCTCTGGACTGATTGAATTATCAGAAGAACATAGGAGGAGCTGGGCTGGAACACCTGTGTTCAGAATACTAGATACTAGCAGCATCAAACTTGGGGGGGGGCGTGCCTTTAAGGCTTCCTCCAAGGCTTCGGGGGGGGGCATCTGGTTGACCACTGAGGGAAGCAGGATCCTGGATCCTGGACTCCATGGACATTTGTTCATATACCTATCTTTAAAAGCTGGAAGGAACCCAGCAGGGACAGGAGTCTATTAATCTAAAATGAAAACTCCAGGTTTGTTTTCAAAACAGGTTGGAATTGATATTCTTATAAATGGTTACTAATAGTCCAGTTTCCTGCACCTATGGGACTCTTCCTGTTCTTTTTATAACCCTGCCCTTTGAAGGAACAAAGGTAAACACACCAACATTTACTATCCATAATATTACCCTTAAAAAAAACCCCAATCAACCATTACAATACAGTGGTACCTCTGGATGCGAATGGGATCCGTTCCGGAGCCCCGTTCACATCCTGAAGCGAACACAACCCACATCTGCATGTGCGCGGGTTGTGATTTGCCGCTTCTGCGCATAACATCATTTTGAGCGTCTGCACATGCACGAGTGGTGAAACCCGGAAGTAATGCATTCCGTTACTTCTGGGTTGCCGCGGAGCGCAACCCGAAAATGCTCAACCCGAAGCTGCTTCAACCAAGGTATGACTGTAACAACAACAGCAACAACAGGAAGGAGAGCAAGCAGAATCCACCCCAGCACCTCCTCCAGCTGCACTCTCCCACACCCTTTCCCCACAAGGTGATTGAGAGCTGGTGCTGATGTAGTGATTAGGAGGTCAAGCTAGGAACTCAGAGACCAAGGTTCAAATCCACACTCACTCATGAAGCTCACTGGGTGGCTTTGGGACAGTCACTGCATCTTGGCCTAACCTTCCCACAGGGTTGCTGTGGGGATTAAATGAGGGAGTGGGTCACACTGAATGCTTTATTATGGCACTCAGAACCATGTATCTTGAGCTCCTTGGAGGAGAAAGTGGGATATGAAAGCAATCAATCATTCAGTCATTCTACAACAGTACATATGATTCGGAAAAGTGAGACAGAAATCCAACCAGTGCAGCTAATGCAACCATTTCAGACTGCAGGGAAGGAGGGGTCAGAGGAAGTTCCTGCATTTCTCACCTGGCCCTACAACTAAATCTCAAAGGCTGTCATATGGAAGAGGGAGCAAACTTGTTTTCTCCAGCTTAGAGGGGAGTACTTGAACCCATGGATTCCAGTTACAAAAAGGGAGATTCCGACCAAACATCAGGAAGAACTTTCTGTGACAGTGACAGCTGTTTCGACAGTGGAACTGTCTCCCTCGGGAGGTGGTGGACTCTGGGTGGTCATCTGTACTGCATGCTTTAGCCGAGGTCCCTGCGCTGCAGGGGGCCCGGCTGGATAACCCTCGGGGTCCCTTCTATGACTCTCAGCTGCTCCATTTGGGTTGGATTGGTGAGGTTGGAGAGGGGGAGTAGTAACCACCCTAAGGACTATGCAATGCCCACCCTGGGAGCTTCCTGGCTTGCCAAGGCTTGACGCATGCGCCCTGCGCGGCACTTCCCACCCCGGCCTGAGGAGGGCAGAGCGCTGCGGCCCTTATTGCCTCTCCGCGCACCCCACCACCACCAGCCCCGGCTCTATGGCTTCTCCCCTCACCCGCCAGCAGGAGCGCCTCCGCCAGGCCTTGCTGTTGTTGTAGCCGCCGACGGCGGCCGCCGCTGCGTCGAGGGCTCCGCCGGGGCTGAGGGTCACGGTGATGAAGTCCCGCCTGGCGGAGGGTGGCAGCGGCGTCGAAGAGGAGGCGGCGGAGGAGTACATGGCGGCGCGGGCAATGGCCCCTCAGGATCCGCGAGCCGCTCCTCCGCCGGCTGCCATGGTGTGTTTTTTTTTCCTCGCGTCCGCCGAGCCCGTAGAGATGACGGCGCAGAGCGGCCGCTTCCGCGTCTGCGCTCTCCCTCCCTCGTCCGCGGGTGGGCGGGGAGGAAAGCTCTATGGTTATCTCCTTGGCAACAGCGCCCAGGGAGTGCCTGGGGAAAAGGCCGCGGAGCCTTTCTCTAGTCCCCTGTGGTGAAAGGGTTAAAAGTCTTTTGCTCCGCCAGCAAAAGACTGTTTGCCATGGCCAATAAATCACAAGCGCCTTTTTAAAAGGACATTGCTGTTTTGCATCATGCCCGCTAGAGGCCTTGTTTTATTTATTGCCATTTTATATACCGCCCTCCGCTCCAAAGGATCTCAATGGTGTGGGGACATGGGTCTCCCTGTTGCAGGAATTTATGTTTAGGTTGGGGGGGGGTTACCCCTCCAGCAGATATCATGCACATGCAGCCCACTACCAAAATCAGCACAACCACTTTTGTGACTTTTGTGACTTGTCCCCACAAAACACTTCATCACAGTTTCTTCCTCTCTATCCCAAGGGCCTCTGCTGCACAATACCAAATGTAATAATTCACTGATAAATGTATCTATGTACTGGCTCACAGGGAAAACTTCAGAAATTCATCTAGATGTGAGCTCAGCTACTCAGCAGCCTCTCTGCCTGAGTGATAATTCCTGGCATCCTGATACCTGAGTGCCAGACAGGTAGCCATTCCAGAAATAACAAACCCAGAGGAAGACAAAAGGGTGTGATTAACTTGGCTGGGAAACAGGGAAATGTAAAGATCTCTTTTGTTCCCTAGCCAGAATTAAGATTGCCGGAAGAAATATCAACAACCTCAAAAATGCAGATGACACAACCTTGATGGCAGAAAGTGAGGAGGAATTAAAGAACCTTTTATTGAGGGTGAAAGAGGAGAGCGCAAAATATGGTCTGAAGCTCAACATCAAAAAAACTAAGATCATGGCCACTGGGCCCATCACCTCCTGGCAAATAGAAGGGGAAGAAATGGAGGCAGTGAGAGATTTTACCTTCTTGGGATCCATGATCACTGCAGATGGTGACAACAGCCACGAAATTAAAAGACGCCTGCTCCTTGGGAGAAAAGCAATGACAAACCTAGACAGCATCTTAAAAAGTAGAGACATTGTTATGTACTGAAGTTCTCACCCTGGGCCAGCTGGGGGATACTGTAGATAGTTTTCACTCAGGTCCACGTAAGTTATTTTAGGCAGGAAACCCTGGGTGGTTGTTGCTACAATGTTGACAGCTAGCTGCCTATAAAAGCAGGCCGGCTGAGCTGTTTGCTGTTCAGTTTCTGTTCCAGATTACAAAATAAAGAGCTGCTTTGGAGAAATCGCTGTCGTCTGCCATGTCTACCCACTATTCAACAGACATCACCTTGCCGACAAAGGTCCTTTTAGTAAAAGCTATGGTTTTCCCAGTAGTGATGTATGGAAGTGAGAGCTGGACCATAAAGACGGCTGATCGCCAAAGAATTGATGCTTTTGAATTCTGGTGCTGGAGGAGACTCTTGAGAGTCCCATGGACTGCAAGAAGATCAAACCTATCTATTCTGAAGGAAATCAGCCCTGAGTGCTCACTGGAAGGACAGATTGTGAAGCTGAGGCTCCAATACTTTGGCCACCCATGAGAAGAGAAGACTCCCTGGAAAAGACCCTGATGTTGGGAAAGATTGAGGGCACAAGGAGAAGGGGACGACAGAGGACGAGATGGTTGGATAGTGTTCTGGAAGCTACCAGCATGAGTTTGACCCAACTGCGGGAGGCAGTGGAAGACAGAAGTGCCTGGCGTGCTCTGGTCCATGGGGTCACAAAGAGTCGGACACGACTAAACGACTAAACAACAACAACACACTTGATGGGTGTTTGGTGGAGGGAAAGGGGAACCATGGGGCAGGGTCCTGCCACCAGACCTCCCCTTTCATGATGTAAACATGATGTATGAGTGATGTAGTTTGGGGGGGGAGCCTCCTGCTGCTGCCGCGCCGCCGGAGCACGATTTCTGTTCTTATCCTGAAGCAAAGTTCTTAACCTGAAGCACTATTTCTGGCTTAGTGGAGTAACCTGAAGTGTATGTAACCTTAAGCGTATGTAACCCGAGGTACCACTGTATATATCTCAGAAAACTCCCCACAACATGGGAATTTACCATGTTGATAGAACTGCAAACCTCAAAATGGGATTTTGGATCACACTGCTTGCTTTAATATGACACTCAGCACTTTATGTTTATTATCTGTTAAGACACTTATCTATACCCAGTCTTTCATCATAAACCAGGAGTGACTTATTTGTGGCCCGCCACATGTTGGACTACAATGCTCATCAGCCTCAGCCCAGCCTGACCCGTCAGGGTTGAAAAGAGCTGTAGTCTATAACATCTGGAGGGTCACATGTTAATCCTGACCTAAAATAAGTTATTATTGCCCATTCCATCAAGCAGCCTTATGTTGACCAGAAAGCATGGGCATACATGCCCAGAATTTTTTTCCATCTTTGGCACAATGGTGGAATGCTGCTAATTAGCAGAATGCTGCTAATTGGCTCATGGAAAACATACTGCAAAAGAAATCGGACCACTAATGGACAGGAAGGGCTCTGGATCCGTGTTACAAATCGGTAACTCCTCAACTCTTCACATGGCACTGCAGTGTCTGGCCTTTAAAGGACCTTAGTTTTCCATTTGCAGATCTTCTGATATTGCTCACATTTAAAAGCTTTATTTTGGCAACTAAAATTTTAAACTTTAAAAAGTAATTATGGCTGCAAACCTTTTTTAAAAAAAAGCTCTATAAATATCAGCTGATATGTGAAGACAGAAGTGGCAGAGCAAGATTTTCAGTGGGCAAGAACCATCAGAAGCCTTGCCCTTCTGTTGGCTAGCAGGAAGAGAATAAGTTGCGCAAAAAAACCAAAAACAAATACATTATGCAAGCTGTCATGATTTGTGTCATTTACACAGCTGAGCCTTTCCTTGCCACCCAATCTGGGTTGCCTGTGTGCCTGCTGGTTTTTAGTGCAGAAGGCAAGTGGTCCTGTGTATATATAGCTTCCACCCACCCACCCTGCATCCACGTCTAGGGAAGGAAACTAGTAAACTATGGAAGGGCAACTGATTTGGGGGTTGCTAGGGCTGGGCATTGCAACTCCTCTTGTTGCGTTTTCTATCTGTGTGCCAGGTCTCGGGAGTAGGGCCAGTTTTGAAACACAAAAGGCAAGCTAGACTTTTTAAAGCACTTTTAATATGCGAAAATTAAGGCAATATAGGGTTTTCATCACCTTCTTCCAGAACATGTATAAAGCAGCTTTCCCCAATGTGGCGCCTTCAGCTATGGTTAGATTTCCATCAGCCCCAGTCAGCATGGTCACAGATTAGAGAAACTGTAGTGCCCTAAAACAACTAGAGGGTACCAGATCAGGGAGGGCATTAATCAGTATCAAAAGACGGTTTGGGGATAATTAAAAAGGAGAAAGAAAACAATGCACTCTGCTACACAAAGGTTTGCGAAGAGGGAAGCTTTCAGCTCAAGCTGAAAACACCAGATTCAAGATGGCACTGCCAAAATAGATGCAATTCAGATCCTGTCTCTTCCACAGTCAAAGCAGTACTTCCAAGATGAGGCAAGAGATTCTGGACACAGACAATGCCCTTAACTTTGAGTGCATAATGTTCTTGCAAATGCAGGTTTAGGTAAGCACTGATTGCTCCTCACTGGAAGCTTATCTCCAAGGTCTGAAGCAGAGAGCTTTCTCCAGACTTACTACCTAACATCCTTTTAAGTGGAGTTGTCCATAATCAAACATGGGTTCTCCTGTTTCTTCTGCCACTGAGTCATGCTCCTCCAAGATAATACAGAGCCCCTTCACCCAGCATTGGTAAATCATATCTATGGAATGTGTGCAGCACTATTTAGAGGTTCCTCTCAGCTATCTCCTGCCTCTCTGGTTCCTTTGAGTGTTGACACCAGCAAAGAATCCCATCCCCCAGGGCTGCCTCCAATTTCAGCATTACACCTCTCAGCCATAGTAAGGATGGTGGGTCTTATTTCAGACAGCTCTTTGAAAGTTGCAGAGAATGCTATTGGGACAATTAAGGGCAGAAACCATCACTCTCCAGGCACAGTGTGACCTAACAGCCCAGAAGCAGAAAAGTTAGAAGATTTTGGCTTTATAGTATCATAAACACTGATAGTTTCTCAAAATTATTCTTTTCTTAATTACAAAGCAACAGTCAAGCAAAAAGATGGTCGCAGAGGACAATCTTCCAAGTTGGGTCTTCATTCAAGCTCTTGTTAATGCTTCTGCTTTGGTTTCATCGAGTAGAAAAGGTGACTGGAGGTCTTTGGCTTTCAGGTACTTCTCTAGTCCCTGCAAAAGAAAACAATTTTGAGCCAAAGGCCACATTCCCTTATGGACAAGCTTTCAGAGTTCGCATGACAGTGATGGTCAGGGCCAGAGATGGAAGTGGATGGAGTAACCAATGAGGCTCTTGCTTTTGTAGCTTACTTCCACGGAATATGTCAAGAGGCATCGACACAGTTCAGCAGACATTCAAGCCAAGGCAAAGCACTCACATCAGTGGGGCAAGTAGCTTGCAGAGAGTCCTAACAGCCAGAAAAACCTCATGGGTCACATTAAATTCCCAGGCCTGAGGTTCTCCACCCATTTGTAAATCTAAGCATGACTTTTGCCCCTAAGTCAGGGGTATGAGGTATCTGTGGCCCTCTAGATGTCAGACGCCAACTCCCAGCAGCCTCAGCCAATGGTTGGAGATGATGCAAGAATGAGTTGAGTTGCTGCTGGAGAGCCAGAGGTTTCCTCTTACTGCTGTAACCCATGGGTAGGCAAACTAAGTCCCGGGGGCTGGATCCGGCCCAATCGCCTTCTAAATCCGGCCCACAGACAGTCCGGGAATCAGCGTGTTTCTACATGAGTAGAATGTGTCCTTTTATTTAAAATGCACCTCTGGGTTATTTGTGGGGCATAGGAATTCGTTCATTATTCTTTTCAAAATATAGTCCCACAAGGTCTGAGGGACAGTGGACCGGCCCCCTGCTGAAAAGGTTTGCTGACCCCTACTGTAACCCATCTTTCAGCCTTTATTTCCTGTCACATACTGATTCTCCCTTACGTCCCTGCTACCCATTCTGGATTTAAAACCTCTGGAGACAAGGACCTGCCTAAGTTGTTAACTCTAAAAGTGACAGAGGTAAAGGGTAAAGGGACCCCTGACTATTAGGTCCAGTCGTGACCGACTCTGGGGTTGCGCGCTCATCTCGCTCTATAGGCCGAGGGAGCAGGCGTTTGTCCCCAGACAGCTTCGGGTCATGTGGCCAGCACGACTAAGCCACTTCTGGCGAACCAGAGCAGCGCACAGAAACACCGTTTACCTCCCACCGGAGTGGTACCTATTTATCTACTTGCACTTGACGTGCTTTCGAACTGCTAGGTTGGCAGGAGCTGGGACCGAGCAATGGGAGCTCACCCCATCGCGGGGATTCGAACCGCTGACCTTCTGATCGGCAAATCCTAGGCTCTGTGGTTTAACCCACAGCGCCACCTGCGTCCCAAAATGTGACATACATACACTTATAAAACAATCAAAAAGATTTTAATAGTAATAATAATAGTGAAGAAATTATTCTTAGCTGCTTTTCTTTTTTATTATTCTGACACAACAGTATTTTGTGTTTTTTGTAATTATATGTAACCAGCACCACAAATTCCAAATGGAGGAAAGCCTATATAGCTCTGCGGTTCCAGGCTATGGACTCTGCCACAGTTGAAAGATGCTACTGCCTGATCCCTTATGAAGGGAGAGTTTGCTCATGTGGAGTTTTATCCCATATTTGCCTTCTTGGCTGAACATTCTTCAATCGCAGGGCTCTACAACAGGCATAGGCAAACTCCGGCCCTCCAGACGTTTTGAGACTACAGTTCCCATCATCCCTGACCACTGGTCCTGTTACCTAGGGATGATGGGAATTGTAGTTCCAAAACATATGGAGGGCCGGAGTTTGCCTATGCCTGCTCTACAACATCTCCAATATTCTTTGCACTGACTCAGAAATAAGAACTTATTTCCTTAGAAGCAGATACTGAATCCTTAACAGGAGTTCACATAAAATGTTGCCCTCACCTCCCCAAAGTAAGAGACTAGAGGTGAAATCTCACATACAGCGGGTGGTTCGTCATCGCCTGATAAACTGAAAAGAGAGAAAGATGAAAATAATGACTCTCTGCAAACATATGACAAGCCACAGAAAAGAGAGGCAGGCAGCCCAAGGCAACAACAGAAATTGCTCAACGCAACCCCAGGCCACCTTCACATTTCATATCATCTGTTTGGTTTTGGTATTTTAAAACTGCAATCTACCATGGGTGCTTGGAAGACAAGTCATACGTAAATGAAGTAAACAATAAACAGAAGCACCAGAGCATTAGCCGAGTGTTTTTCCCTTGTCACCCGAATAACTGCAACCAGAATGCAAAACTGCAATGTACTTCTGTAAGCAGGAGACTGGACTAGATGACGCTTTGGGTTCCTTCCAACCACACAATTCTATTATTTTATGGCCTCACACACCTGGGACGGGGAGAAAGGCACCCCAGATTAGAGAGGATGACCTCAATAAGCTTTGAATCCTGAACCCTGTGTTTTATTATTATGCCCCACCTTTAAAATAAAACAAAATAAAACCTTCCCTGTGCCATATTAAGAGTTTGGTCACAGCATGTTAACACAACTTCTCCTAATCTAGTGCCTTCCAAATGCTACTGGAATACAACATCCATCTTGGTGGCTGCAGCAGATGGCTGGAATCCAGCCCTATCTTGGAGAAAGCTGCTCTATTGCACTCTTCCCCTCCCTGGTATAAACCCCAGAGGGCACAATTTATCTCCACAAGAAGATCTCATCTGCGCTATATATTTAAGGCACTATCATACTACAGTGGTACCTCGGGTTAAGAACTTAATTCATTCTGGAGATCCTTTCTTAATCTGAAACTGTTCTTAACCTGAGGTACCACTTTAGCTAATGGGGCCTCCCGCTGCCGCCTCATCCTGAGGTAAAGTTCTTAACCCAAGGTACTATTTCTGGGTTAGCGGAGTCTGTAACCTGAAGCATCTGTAACCTGAGGTACCACTGTACTTTGAACAGCCATGAAACCTGGGAGCTGTGGTTTGCTAAGGCTGCTGAGAGGTGTTAGGAAACAACCCCCCCACCCCAATTCCCCTCCCAAAGCACCAATTCCCACAGTGGTTTTGACAATTGCCAGGGAACTCTGGGAATTGTAGCTCTGGGAGCGGGGAGGGTCTTCTCTGAGAATCCTTAACAAACTACAGCTCCCATAATCCTTTGGGAGAAGCCACACCTGTTTAAAGTAGTATCGTAGTGCTTCAAGTGTATGGTGTGGATGAGGCCAAAAATCTGTTGCATGGATGTTAAACAGATATTTAACGGTTAGTCCTGACCAGACCCCCATCTATTCCCCACTCAGAACTACAGCTCCCAGAGTTTCCTGGGAAGAGGTCTTGACTGCTAAACCACTCCACGAATTGTAGCCCTGTAAGAGGAGTAGGTGGTCTTCTAACAACTCTCAGCACCCTTAAATAATTCTCAGGAAGCCATTGCAGTTGCAGGAAATAATTGCAGGAAGCCATGACTGTTTAAAGTGGTGTGATACCGCTTTACTCATACAGTGGTACCTCTGGTTAATAACTTAATTCATTCTGGAGGTCCGTTCTTAACCTGAAACTGTTCTTAACCTGAAGCACCACTTTAGCTAATGGGGCCTCCTGCTGCCGCCATACAATTTCTGTTCTCATCCTGAAGCAAAGTTCTTAAACCGAGGTACTATTTCTGGGTTAGCGGAGTCTGTAACCTGAAGCATCTGTAACCCGAGGTACCACTGTAGTGCCAATGGGGAAACGGGGACACACACACACACACACACACACACACACACACAGAGTGTTTCACTGTGGCAGCATTCCAGGTCACAATTTCATCTAGTGCTCCCTGGCCCCTTGGGGTAAACTACAGTTCCCACAATCCCTTGGGGAGGATAAATGGAAGAAGCCTTCACAGACCTTGGTTCTTCAGGTATCCTCTGGCCATTGCCATTGACAAATCTAGCTCCTGCCTTCACAGCCCAACGGTAGTGTTGCGAGAGGAGTGACCGACGAGCCGTGATGGGAGTGTCTTTGTCGGCCGAATCAGAGTTCTTCAAAGGCGAGAACTCCTCCTCCCTCGGGACCTCAAAGGCTACGAACTTCCTGTTAACAGAAGGGAGAAACTGGAGGCTTAAAATGGGAGTTTCAGTTGTGGTCGTGCCCTCCTGTATGTGCAGCATGGAGCCCTTGAGGCCACGGCACGTTCCAGAATCCAGGAAAACGTAACTTGCCATATCCATGAAAGGAATGCATTTAGAGGGAAGCAGGGAGACCTTGCAGCCGTTCTCCAAGCTGCCAATTCCAGTTGGACTTGACTGCAAAGGCGAACTAAAGCCACATCCACGCCAGACCTTTAAAAGCACTCTTATACCATAGGAACCAGTCTGCACCCTGCGGTCATCATCCGAGGCCCAGGACGTCTGGAGAGTGGCAAAAGGAGAACAGGGACTTTTCTGTGGTGGTTTTCCGCATGTAGAAAGCTCTCCCCAGCAAGGCTCGCCTGCTGCCATCGTTACGTATCTTCAGGCACCAGGCAAAAACCTTCCTTTTTAACCGGGGCTTTGGCTTTTAACCACCTATGGCCTTTTGGAGTGGGAAGGATGTTTTAATGTATTTCTTCTTCCCCCCTCCTCCGGTTTTAATGTATTCCCTGTTTAGGGAAGCTTTTAATGTTTGATGTATTACAGTATTTTAATATTTTTTTGGAAGCCGCCCAGAGTGGCTGGGGAAGCCCAGCCAGATGGGCGGGGTATAAATAATAAATAATAAATTATTATTATTATTATTATTATTATTATTATTATTATTATTATTATTATTACGGTGTGGGCTTTTTTTAAGTTGCCATGCCCCCCCATGTGACTAATAAATTTAATTAATAAACAAATAATTTAGCCACCATGCCTTCCCCACCCCAAAAGTAGTCTAGGAGTGCTGACTCCACAGGCCTATGATTCCCAGCACTCTTAACAAAATACAGTCCCCATGGTTCTCCATGACTGTTAAAGCAGTATAAAAGGTAAAGGTAAAGGTACCCCTGCCCGTACAGGCCAGTCTTGACAGACTCTAGGGTTGTGCGCCCATCTCACTCTATAGGCCGGGGGCCAGCGCTGTTTGCAGACACTTCCGGGTCACGTGGCCAGCGTGACAAGCTGCATCTGGCGAGCCAGCGCAGCACACGGAACGCCGTTTACCTTCCCGCTGGTAAGCGGTCCCTATTTATCTACTTGCACCCGAATGTGCTTTCGAACTGCTAGGTTGGCAGGCGCTGGGACCGAACGACGGGAGCGCACCCTGCCACAGGGATTCGAACCGCCGACCTTTTGATCAGCAAGTCCTAGGCGTTGAGGCTTTAACCCACAGCGCCACCCGCGTCCCAAAGCAGTATAAGGGTGCTTTTAATTTATGGTGTGGATGTGAACTAAATATTTCTAGATAGGTGATCTGAAAAACATGCTGCATTCAAGCTGGGTCTCTGGATTCTGGCAGAATGCAATCAATCTCTATCATCTATCTATCTATCTACACACATATCTCTACAGCACAATTGGTGTAAAGCACTGCTCAGAAAGCTTCTAATAAAGAAGCTTAAAATTTCACTGTTGTTGGTGCAGCCATCATTGTTATTAGGAGCACAGGAAGCTGCCTTCTACCGAGTCAGACCCTTGGTTCAGCTAGCTCAGCATGGCTTACACTGACTGGCAGCAGCTCTCCAGGGTCTCAGGCAGCGAATCTTTCCCAGGCCTCCTTTGAGATTGAACCTTTAACTTTCTGTATGCAAAGCAGATGCTTTGCCACTGAGCTACCACCTTTTCCCAATTCATGGTGGATTGTCACATTTACATATTTTGAAGAGTTTTCTTTTATTGAAAGTACCGTATTTTTCGCTCTATAAGACACACCTAGTTTTTAGAGGAGGAAAACAAGAAACAAGAAAGCAATGCAAAGCCTCTTGAGTGAAGAGGCAGGAGCGCTCCCTCTTCACTCAAGAGGCTTTGCATGGCTATCGCTGAAGCCAGGAGACCAAGAGGGATCGGTGTGCACCAATCCCTCTTGCTCTCCTGGCTTCAGCAATAGCTGCACAGCCTAAATTCGCTCCACAAGACGCACACACATTTCCCCATCATTTTTAGGAGGGGGAAAGTGCGTCTCATAGGGCGAAAAATATTGTAATGCAGCCAGGTGGGACGTGGGTGGCGCTGTGGGTTAAACCACAGAGCCCAGGACTTGCCGATCAGAAGGTCGGTGGTTCGAATCCCCGCGACAGGGTGAGCTCCTGTTGCTCGGTCCCTGCTCCTGCTAACCTAGCAGTTCAAAAGCACGTCAAAGTGCAAGTAGATAAATAGGTACCGCTCCGGCGGGAAGGTAAACGGCGTTTCCATGTGCTGCTCTGGTTTGCCAGAAGCGGCTTACTCATGCTGGCCACATGACCCAGAAGCTGTACGCCAGCTCCCCTGGCCAATAAAGCGAGATGAGTGCCGCAACCCCAGAGTCGGCCACGACTGGACTTAATGGTCAGGGGTCCCTTTACCTTAATGCAGTGTCCCTTTACCTTAATGCAGCCAGGCATATAAATTCCAAACGGTTTTCATAGGCAGCACCACATATAACTCATGGTAGTAATCTAGAGGCTACCGGGGCACACCATTCTGCCCTGTTACAGCAGCTGCACATGTAATGTTCTCATCTACTGACTGCAATAATCAATCCCTCAAAAAAAGAAATGCTCTAGGGCGGAGCAGGTAAGTGTGCCTGCCATTTTGATTCAGAAAACAAAACCAGAAGCTATCAGAAGTTTGGGAGACACCCTGTGTTGTCACAACTCCTTACCCCGTAGCAGCTGGTTCCATTATCATTTAGCAACCTGGTGCGCTCCAAATGTTTTGGACTGTGCCCCCCATCAGGCCCAGCAGAGGCTGATGGGAGGTGTAGTCCAAAATGTTTGGCAGGCACCAGTTTGGCCAAGGCCAATTTAGTGAGTCTACCCAACTCCCGCCCCAAAGAACAGGATACACAGAAAGAGGAAAGAGGCACATTTGGTACTAACTTAGAAAACTGGAAGACATCAAACACAAACTTCTCCAGCTTTATCCCGTTGGGTTTTAGCGGCGTCACCCGATTGCCCTCCTGGTCGACGAAAGGGACTTTCTTGACAGCCACATGGCGTTTCAAGCGGGGCTCAAACTTCCTGGTGGGCAGGAAGGACAGAGGCGTAAGCGCACAGGAGACTTCCTCAAACTCTGCTCTGCTAAAAAATGTTGTTGTGCAGCAAGATCGCTCAGGGCTGCCCCAGGCCATTCCTTGCACTGCACAGCTGTAAGGGGAAGGAGCGGCGCCTTCTGCCTTTTCACCTGCCTGAAATCTACTGCCACAATCAATGGATCACCCTTGGATGATCCAGGGTTTCAGTGTTCCACCCAACTATCTCCATGCTTCTTTCTGCATTTCAGAGGGTTTGACCTGGTGGACCTTCCAACTCTACAATTCTATGATTCTATGGACAAGTTTAATTTAAATGGGGGGGGGGAGTGGGAGGAAAGCTTCATCCCCCTGATTATTTTGTTTCCCCACTTTTCTGCAGGAGGGGTGGTGTGTATGACAAACTGCTGGTGGGGACCTTTCTGCTGAGCTGTTTTCATGGAGAAAGCGGGGGGGGGGACTCTGCATAAGTTATTTTTGGCAATTCGCTGAACACTTCCTGGAAATCTTTGGGTAATGATTCACTGGTATATTGGAGTTGTTTCTGTGGGTTTTCTGAAATCTGCCTTTCAAACAGAAGGCAAAGATTTGTCCTAGGACTGCAGTTTAAGAGCTATATGACAGAGGCCGCGGTTTAGGAGAGCGTGTAGGTAAGCCGTCTCTTTTTTGGTTGTCTGGATGACAGCAACCAAGTTTTTGAGTTCTGCTGTTTTCCCAATTACAGGACTACAGTCATACCTCGAGTTACAGGGACTTCAGGTTGCTTTTTTGGGGGGTTACGGAATGCTGAAACCCGGAAGTACCGGTAGGGTTACTTCCGGGTTTCAGCGGTCGCGCATGCGCAGAAGTGCTAAATTGCGCTTTGTGCATGTGCAGAAGCGCCGAATCGCAACTCGTGTGTGCACAGACGCGCAGCTGCGGGTTGCAAACGTGCATCCCACACGGATCACGTTCGCAACCCGAGCGTCCACTGTAATTCCTTTGCATTAGAGTTTCTTCAAAATAAGAACCTAAGAACAGCCCTGCTGGATCAGGCCAATGGCTCCTCCAGTCCTGTTCTCACAGTGGCTGACCAGATCCTTGTGGAAAAGTGCAGGATCTGAGCACTTTCCACTGCTGTGTATTTTCCAGCAACTGATATTCAGAAACATTAATGTGAAGGCAGAGCATAGTCATTGTGGCTGGCAGCCGTTCCAAGCTTTATCCTCCATGAAATAGTGTTCATTATAGATTTTATCTTCTGCATGCAGTATTGCTGAATAAAGTGAGTTTAAAAGGCTGCTGAAGCTGCCTGCTATAAAAATGGAAAAGCATCGCTTTAAGAGCTATAGAACGGGCAACGTCTGAAGGTGGTAGATGTTCCTTCGCTGGAGGTTTACACATGGAGTTTGGATGGCCATCTGTCAGGGATTCCTTAGCTCTGATTCCTGCATTGCAGGGGGTTAGACTAGATGACCCTTGGGGGGTCCTCTACCAAGTCTAAAGCACTATGATTCTACAGCTTCTAACCAGAAAACTATGTAATAGAATTTTAAGGTGTTTTATATATATATATATATAGAGAGAGAGAGAGAGAGAGAGAGAGAGAGAGAAAATGTTCATAAATGTACCAAGTCTGGAGCAGCACAGGAAGACCTTCCTGAAACCATTTTAACTCCCAAACTGACCAAATGTTTTCTCTGCAAGGAGGGAGGGGGTGAGGGAACCTTCCCATTGTCTCAGGAATTGGGAAATCACCATCTCAAAGGAATGGCCAGATTGCCAGGAAAGGCAATCAGATAAGGCATTATCAGATAACCTGGCAGACAGGAAAAACAACAGCAATCAAATTTCTGTTGTAGACCACCTTTTCTGTGATGTAGGTATGATGTTTGTGGGGGTTGGTCTTGGGTTACGCCCCTTCTGTGATGTATGGAGGGGTGGTCTTAAGCTCCAGGGAAGGCAATTTAAAATGTAAATATAAGGGCAGGCACACCTTTGTTCGGGGTCCTCCTCTGTCCTCCTGCGTGTGAGGGGAGCACCCTGTTCCAACAGTTCAATAAAGATCAGGCTTACTAGCTGCTTTGCTTCTCAATATTCTCTGGTTGGCCTCTGTTATTTTCTCCTACCAATAGGGAACCTACATAAGGACTCTATATGGGCTCTTGGATACCCCATTAGGGAAAAAGGGCAGATTTTGTTTACAACAACTAGGAGCTCAGTTTGTCACAATCCTGATACAATGCTCAGAAATGCATGCATCCCTTCCCACCCGACTGATTTCCAGGATGCAGATCCCACACTCATAAACTCTGGAACAGGTCATGGGAAAGTGAGCATGCACAACTGCAGGACTTACTCTGTGACAGCCTTCAGGAAGTCAAGACTAAAGAAGTGATTGCAGATATTCCCAGCGCTGTATGTCAACCGGCCGTCCGCGTTTCTCCTCTGTGCCGTTTCCAAGGAGATCTCGCTGTATTCCACCACCTGATATACTCCGTCCACAGAGCAAACCACCCCAACTGGCTCTGTGGGGTAGGCTTTTTCCACTACCTTAACGAAGCAACAACAACAAAATTGGGCCAGAGTCAGGTAGCACGTAAAATAACCGCAGAGTGGATCAAGCAGGTGGAGCGTAATTCTGGGTAATTCTTTTTTCTTTTTAAAAATAATTTTCATTAGAATTTTATTTACAACATAACATAAACCCCCCACTCCACCCCAATACAAAAATCCACCCTCATTAAACATGAACATACAGTGAGCATAACATACAACAATACAAACAACGAAATAAAATACCGTATTTTTCGCTCTATAAGACGCACCAGACCACAAGACGCACCTAGTTTTTGGAGGAGGAAAACAAGAAAAAAAATATTCTGATTCTCAGAAGCCAGAATAGCAAGAGGGATCACTGCGCAGCGAAAGCAGCAATCCCTCTTGCTGTTCTAGCTTCTGCATTCGCTGCATAAGATGCACACAAATTTCCCCATACTTTTTAGGAGGGAAAAAGTGAGTTTTATAGAGCAAAAAATACAGTACTTCCTTTATCCTGTATCTGGCCTCCTTATTTACTTCTTATAAACTGTTTCCTTTATGAATAATTATTAAGATTTTTCTAATTATAACTTAAATATCCACAAAGTCTCCTGCAGACATTAATCAAAACAAGTCCAAGTATGTATTTTAGGGCACTGTTTTGTGAAGTATTCTCTGCATTTCCCCTATGCTTTTTGAAACTCTTGTCTAGCGTGATCTCAAATTGCCTCTGTTAATCCAGCCAGTTCAATATACTCTAACAGTTTGTCTTGCCATTCCTTTTTTGTTGGCACGGTTTCTTTTTTCCAGTTTTTAGCAATTGGGATCCTTGCCGCTCCTGTGGCATAGAGGAATATTTTCTGATCTTCTCTTGCTATATCTGTGTCCAGGTAATTCTTGATTCTACAGATCAAATCCAATTCCGCTCAGAGGATGCTGGATTCAGAAATTCACATGGTCAATTAATTGGGTGCATATGTTTGCCTGTTTAGAACGAGATTACTCAACTGTTGCAGGCCCAGGGAGTGGGGGGAAAGGATCTCTGCCAGTCACCCCCCCCAAATACCCTTCTAAGATTTTACCTAGGCACTGCCCATAGGTGTTCAAAGTTCATCTAAAAAACTCACTTTTCATGTTTTGTTTCATTTTGCTATAAGGGTACTTAAAGTTTCATATACTGTCCATCTCAGACACTATCTATATTCAACATGTTTATGGTTCAGAGGCATGCGGAAGACACGCAACACATTACATGGAGGCAAAAGCAGATCTAGATGAGAGATGCTCTACTTTAAAAAAATGCAACAACAAAGAAGAAGGAAGGTTCATTTGAGCAGGTAAGGTAAAGGTAAAGGTACCCCTGCCCGTACGGGCCAGTCTTGCCAGACTCTAGGGTTGTGCGCTCATCTCACTCTATAGGCTGGGAGCCAGCGCTGTCCGGAGACACTTCCGGGTCACATGGCCAGCGTGACAAAGCTGCATCTGGCGAGCCAGCGCAGCACACGGAACGCCGTTTACCTTCCCGCTGGTAAGCGGTCCCTATTTATCTACTTGCACCCGGAGGTGCTTTCGAACTGCTAGGTTGGCAGGCGCTGGGACCGAACGACGGGAGCGCACCCCACCGCGGGGATTCGAACCGCCGACCAAGCGATCGGCAAGTCCTAGGCGCTGAGGTTTTACCCACAGCACCACCCGGGATTGTTAATCAGATTCCATCTGCAACCTGCCAGACACAAGCAATGCTTTGGGCTCTTTTTTAAAAAAACAAAGATTGGGGGGGGGGGACATGTGGAAGGACCAAATTGCACTTCCCGCCCCCAATCCACAACAGTTTTATTACCATATTTTTCCATGTATAAGACAATGCTTTTTGCTAAAAAAAATATTAGGCAAAAACTGGGTCTTATACACGGATAGTGAATGCAGAGGGGGGGGGACGTGCGATTAATGGCAGCAACAAGCAGGAGATTGGCAGCGGCGATTGGGCACGTGATTGGTGGCTGTGGCAAGGCCTGCTGGCGATTGGCTGTGGCAATTGGGCAGGCGATTGGCGGCTGCAGCAAGTGGGCTATTGGTGGTGGTGAGCAGACAGACAATTGGTGGCAAGGTGTGCAACTGGCAGTGGCTGTGGCAAGTGATCGGCAGTGGCGGGCAGGCAGGTGAGCAATTGGCAGAAGTGACCTCCCCCGCACCCCACAACTAAACAACTTAATTTCTTAATTTTGGGTTAAAAAAAAAATAGGAGTTGTATTATACATGGGGGTGTCTTACACACGGAAAAATACTGTAGTTTAACATGCAGTACGGCTGCATCTTGTGTTGGGAGCACATTCTGGGAGTGGCGCATATGCACAAAAATGTGTATACCCAAAGCGCCCCCTTGGAATCACCACTGCACAACCATGCTTACCATCCAAGCAAGGAAAACAGCTTTGAAGATGGGCTCTGGGAGGCTCCTGCAAAATCCTACAAAACCTCACAAGAGCCTTCCGGAACCCAGTAAACAAGAACTTAAAAGCATTTTCCTTACCCCCGATGCAAATTCAACTTTTAAACTCTTTTAAGCCTTGCGTGTGATTAATTTGTGGGATTTCAGCCAGCTGGCTTTCAACCACATAGGGTTAAAACTGCACAACTTAATCAAGCGTAAGATGCAATTGTCCTTTACTTACACCCCAGCTTTGGGGTCTAGGTACCACAGGGCATACCACGATGAGCAATGTAATTGTCATATGGATGCTGAAAGGACCATCAGATCATGAGTCACTTCTAGCAGAGATGGAGATCTTCTCTCTCACACACACTTGCTCATCCTTAACCATGACAGCCCTCCGGCCGGCACACAAGTGAATTGTGCAATCATCCCTGCCCAATGTTTTGTTCTCTGTCACCTTAGCACCACAATCAGCTCCTTTCGAGACACAGAAACCAATGAAGACAGGATCTGCCATTTTGACAAGGATGTTGTCCACACAGTACACATGGATGTACTGGACGCCACACCGCTCCATGTGCTCCAGGATCTTGTTGTCCATCAGGGCGCGGTACAAACCACCATTGCCATCTGCAACACACAAGGGATGAGTTAACTACTAGACAGAAACTGGGTTAGGACCAGCACCAACTGGCCAGCACCCATGCTATCAACCACCTACCTTTGCCTCTCACCTGCAACCTCTGTAACTAGTTTTACCACTGCTGGTGGCGGAGGAATGTATAACCAAACAAATGCACATGTGGCACTTGCAATTTTGAAAATATAGGCAGCCCACCTTCAGGGGTGCAGGTCAAAGGGGAAGATGGTTTCCCTGATCTTTCAGGCTGATAAAATATGGCCTTACCCTAGCCTTTGAAAGCTGAGATATATATTTTAGGACACATCCTATCCTCTTGATTGTGATATTCTGTCTTTTATTTTTGATTGTAAGCCTGCAGGTAGGGACTATCTTGTTTTGACTATAAGTAACCTGCTCTGGGAGTCTTTAAGGCTGAAGAGCAGGGTACAAATACTATAAACAAACAATTTTTAAAAATAAATAAATGAATGAAACCCATCCTAGAGCTTCACAGTGAGGAGGTAAAAGATCTAATAAACAATTATAATAGAATGTTTTATGTGGCATGATTGTATTCCCTATACCGTACAAATATTGAGGGGCATGGTCACTCAGTACAATCAGTATATGCAAATGTCTGGCTCACTTAAAGCTATATAGAACCTTTACTCACAATAACAATGCAACTCACAGGCGGACAATACTTTTATTTTTATAAATCTTCTTTATCTGTAAAGGGAATCTTTGTATGAATTAATACTGTATCAACCCTTCGGAGCTGTGCTTTAACTCTGTACTTTTTTATTTCTATTGTTTTCTTTCCTTTTGTTGTGGTTGCATTTAAAAAAATAATAAATCAATTCTGAAAAAGAAAAATGATACAGCTGTACCGCTACGAGAAAGCTCTGCACCTGCCACATGTGAAGGATTTGCTACACGCAATGTCCCTTTTCGCTCAAATATTCAAAACAGTGCCAGTGAGAGGCCTTCAGAAGCTCCCAAGCGGGACAGAACACTTCCCCAAGTTTAGGAAAACTGCTGTATACCTGGCGCCATGGCAATCTTGCCTTTCTCTTCCAAGATCACTTTCCCATCAAATGCCACGGCCGGGAGCATCCTCTGCTCAAACATGATGATGTTGGACTTCTCCAGGTTAAAGTAGTTGTGCTCCTGGAAGAATTTCTCAGTCGGTCCCAAAGTGAACTCGCTGGTCATAATGTACCTGCAGGGGAGGAACACAGGGCACTGCAATTAGAAGCACCGGACAAGGAAACCAGCAGGGTTGGATTCACACAACCAAAGCAAGCAGAGAATGTTACTTTGAGACTGACCCAGAAACTCCAGGGGGTGCAGAATGCCGCAGCAAGGCTCTTTACGGGGTCCTCGCTGCGAGATCACATTCACCCGGTGCTATCCCAGCTGCACTAGCTCCCGGTGGAGGACAGGGTCAGGTTTAAGGTGCTGGTTTTAACCTTAAAGCCCTATACGGCCTAGGACCCACGTACCTATGGGACTGCCTCTCCTGGTATGCCCCACGGAGGACCTTACCGTCTTCAAACAAAAACATCTTGGAGGTCCCGGGCCACTGGGAGGTTAGGCTGGCCTCAACCAGAGCCAGGGCTTTTTCAGCCGTGGCTCCGATCTAGTGGAACGCTCTGTCACAAGAGACCAGGGCCCTGTGAGACTTGACACCTTTCCGAAGGCCTGCAAGACAGAGCTGTTCCACCAGGCCTTTGGCCAGGGCACAATCTGACCCCCTCCTTTGGTAATCCTCATAGAACTCTAGCCCAATGGCTGCCTTTAATTTGATTCTGGATTGATTTTAGAATGAATTGATTTTAGAATGTATTTCAATTAACAGATTGTGATTTTATGAAAACTGTGTTACTTTTACTGTTGCTCTGGGCCCAGCTTTGGCTGGGGAGGGCGGGATATAAATAAATTATTATTATTATTATTATTATTATTATTATTATTATTATTCTGCAGTTGGGCACACCCAGGGCATGACAAGCGAGCATGACAAGGACAGGCACAAAAAATTCAAAAACACAGAAGTGAACAGCAGTGCCATGCAAAGATCACATCGTGGGGGGGGGGGACGTGAAGCCAACCAATGCCTCTACATAGCTCCATCCTTATTTCAGCTATTGTGATGTTTAGGTGGTGGTATATGACAATGTTAGGGACGCGGGTGGCGCTGTGGGTAAAAGCCTCAGCGCCTAGGGCTTGCCGATCGAAAGGTCGGCGGTTCGAATCCCCGCGGCGGGGTGCGCTCCCGTCGTTCGGTCCCAGCGCCTGCCAACCTAGCAGTTCGAAAGCACCCCCGGGTGCAAGTAGATAAATAGGGACCGCTTACAAGCGGGAAGGTAAACGGCGTTTCCGTGTGCGGCTCTGGCTCGCCAGAGCAGCGATGTCACGCTGGCCACGTGACCCGGAAGTGTCTCCGGACAGCGCTGGCCCACGGCCTATAGAGTGAGATGGGCGCACAACCCTAGAGTCTGGCAAGACTAGCCCGTACGGGCAGGGGTACCTTTACCTTTTACCTATATGACAATGTTAAAAACCAGGTATCGCCCAGACCTAAAGAGAGCCCTGTTTTCACAGGGCCCAGCCACATGCCTGTGGGGAAACCCCAAACAGGACTGAGAGCCCAAAGCCCTCTCCCCTCCTATGCTTCCAGGAACTGGTCCAGAACCCTTGCTGCCTCTGACTGTGGAGGCAGAGCAGAGCCACTGGGGCTAGGAGCCATTGATGGCTCTCTCCTCTGCCACGAATTTGTCCAGTCGCCTTTTAAAGACACCCAAGTTGGTCACCATCACTGCCTCCTGTGGGAGGGAGTTCCACAGTTTAACTATGCACTAAGTGAAGAAGTCATTCCAGCATTCAGCTTCATTGGATGTCCATGAATTCTAGTATTACGAGGGAGGGAGGGAAACTTTCCCCACACCATGAATATGTCGTTTTATAAACTTATATTGTGTCACCCCTTAAAGGTAAAGGGACCCCTCACCATTAGGTCCAGTCATGGCCGACTCTGGGGTTGCAGTGCTCATCTTGCTTTACTGGCTGAGGGAGCCGGCGTGCAACTTCCGGGTCATGTGGCCAGCATGACTAAGCCGCTTCTGGCGAACGAGAGCAGTGCACAGAAACACTGTTTACCTTCCAGCTGGAGCAGTACCTATTTATCTACTTGCACTTTGAGGTGCTTTCGAACTGCTAGGTTGGCAGGAGCAGGGACTGAGCAATGGGAGCTCACCCCATCGCAGGGATTCAAACTGCTGACCTTCTGATTGGCAAGTCCTAGGCTCTGTGGTTTAACCCGCGTCTCTTACTCTCCTCTTAAAGTGAAAAGTCCTGAATATGCTTCTCCCCTTCTCCGGAGGTACTGTTTCAGTTACATGCAAATTTATGTAGGGTTAACCAACTGATTAGCATTCAGTTGATTATCTGACAAAGATTTCAGGGGACGGTCCTGATATTTTTGGAGCTTTGTAAATATCCTAGTTAAATGATTAACCAGGGATTGGCAAGGTTTACCTCGCCTGGGCAAATTCACTCCAGCGGAGATCCCTCCGTGGGCCGGATCGCCCGCCCACAATTTCTGGTGTCTGCGCATGTGCAGATGTGATTTCCGGCGTTACAGAAGCGAGTCCCAGCTCGGTACTGCACCGGTTTAGCACAGCAGGCGGGGACTCGCCAAGTGGGCAGCTCAGCTTGGGGGTAGCTCAGAGGCCAGTTAAATGACCCCCGTGGGCTGGTTGTGACCCATGGGCCAAAGGTTGCCAACCCCTGGTCTAAACAGACTTTGCCAATGGGAGTCACACTGCAAACCAAGAAGAAGAAGAAGAGTTTGGATTTGATATCCCGCTTTATCACTACCCGAAGGAGTCTCAAAGCAGCTCACATTCTCCTTTCCCTTCCTGCCCGACAACAAACACTCTGTGAGGTGAGTGGGGCTGAGAGACTTCACAGAAACATGACTGGCCCAAGGTCACCCAGCAGCTGCATGTGGAGGAGCGGAGACGCGAACCCGGTTCACCAGATTACGAGTCCACCGCTCTTAACCACTACACCACACTGGCTCCAAGAAGAGGACATCAGATTGGCATAAAGCCACCCTGCCACTCAGCAAAAGGAACAACAGCAAAGAATTCTGGGACACCAAGTGACCACAAGAACCATTGGCCAGTGCCTTAAGACCCAGGAGCCAGCTACCCACCAAGGGACTGTGCAGCGAGTTCCAAACTTATCACCAGCCAGCTGCTCCACTCTGCGGATCCGCTCTGCCTGGATCTGATAGAGGGTCTTACGGCTCGGCAGCCCCACATCATACATGCCCTTCGGGTAGGGCACCCCGAGGCGTGTCCCTTGCCCTCCAGCCAGAAGGAGCACGGCCACCTTGTTCTGGGAGATCTTACGGAGCCCTTGAAGGAGACAAGAGAAAAATCACCGGAGGAAATATATATCTCGTTCAAATCACGGTTGGAAGGGACCACGAGGGCAGTCGAATCTAGTGCAATGCAGGAATCTTTGCCCAATCTTTTGTCAAACACACAACCCTGAGATTAAGACCCTGAGATCAACTGCAGTCCGGGTGGCTGCCCTTGGAGACAGTGCACAGGGCCAGAGGCTCCTTTGGGGCCCCGAAAGCCCCCCACCCACACCATAAGCAAGAATCATCTGAAAGAGGCACAGGGGTGATGGTGCAATTTCTGTGGACCCAGCTGCCTTCTTTCCCCTCATCGCTGAACAGGTCTGACAGCTCCAGAAGAAGCTTGAAAAACTGAGGCAATGCCTAGGAATTTAAATTATTTGAAGTACTTTTACTCCAACTCGTAAGAGCCCAAAGCAGCTTAAGTCTGTTTCTTCCCTCAGACTTTCCACCAAAAATATACAACACAAAAGGAAAAGGAACTGGGAAGGAGAAAGTAAAAAGCAATCCCAGACAGTACTACTTAGTACAGTGGTACCTCGGGTTACGTACTTAATTTGTTCCGGAGGTCAGCTCTTAACCTGAAACTGTCCTTAACCTGAAGCACCACTTTAGCTAATGGGGCCTCCCGCTGCTGCTGCACCGCCGTCGCACGATTTCTGTTCTCATCCTGAAGCAAAGTTCTTAACCCAAGGTGATATTTCTGGGTTAGCGGAGTCTGTAACTTGAAGCGTATGTAACCTGAGGTACCACTGTACTTAGTACTTAGAGGCAGGGGGCAAAGCCTCTAGTAGCCCTAGGTCCTGATGATGTCAGAGTGTGCTTTACTTCATCTCTACACATGCCCAGAGGTTCTTTGGTCTTCTAGGCAGTTGGTTGGAATCCTCAGTCCCAAGTCTCTTTGTAAACTGCTCAGAGGTTTTCTGTCCAATAATCAGTACAATATTTAAATTTTGTTAAAGGTATTAAAGTTATGTAGCACAGGTAACAAAGGTCTGTATAGTTAAAGCCATGGTTTTCCTAGTAGTGATGTATGGAAGTGAGAGCTGGACCATAAAGAAGGCTGATTGCCGAAGAATGGATGCTTTTGAATTATGGTGCTGGAGGAGACTCTGGAGAGTCCCATGGACTGCAAGAAGATCAAACCTATCCATTCTGAAGGGAATCAGCCCTGAGTGCTCACTGGAAGGACAGATCCTGAAGCTGAGGCTCCAATACTTTGGCCACCTCAGGAGAAGAGAAGACTCCCTGGAAAAGACCCTGATGTTGGGAAAGATGGAAGGCACAAGGAGAAGGGGACGACAGAGGAAGAGATGGTGGGACAGTGTTCTCGAAGCTACAAACATGAGTCTGACCAAACTGCGGGAGGCAGTGGAAGACAGGAATGCCTGGCGTGCTCTGGTCCAGGGGGTCACGAAGAGTCAGACACGACTAAACAACTAAACAACAACACAGGTGCACAAGTACTCTGAACGCAGAACTGGTGTTTGCACAGCACCCAAGGCAAGTTTTTGCCCACCCCAAAGCACACAACATACAGACACCCAGGCATGCCAAACTGTATTTTGCAAACAAAGGCTTTGCCAACATGGCGCCCTTCATAAACAGGTGGACTACAACTCCCAACAGCCCCAGCCAAATATTGCCACCAATGGCAACGGGAGATTATCAAGCTGGAGGAAGAAGGCGGGCTTACAGGGGGCATCACTCCTTAAAATGTTTTACCCAACAACAGCATTTGGGGCCACAGACAATGCAAGGGAACAGTTTCCTGGTGTCTAAATGTACAATTTTAGGTGGCACAAAACTTATTTTACTGTGTGCGAAAGTTGTGCAATCTTCCTTTCTTTATTCAGGTTGTTTCTACATGGAACAATGAAGAAGAAAAATATGCCGGTTTGTATGTCGTCCACTACAGTACTGTATTCCAAAACGGCCTTTGCCGAAGAAGGTGCGGCCGAAGGGGCCGGTGGGTGTGTCTGTGGGTGTGTCTGATTAAGTGGGCGTGACCGACCAAGGAAAGGCGGGGCTACAAGAACAGAACCAATACTGTACAGTAGTCCGTTCTCCACACGCCCACTCTCTGAAAATTAAAACGTAGTTAAAGCACTAATGGATAGGACCAAAGGTCCATCATTATCCAACCAGGTGCCTCTGGGAAGGCGCACATAGGCGAGCAGGTACAACCACACGTACCCAACCTCCGGCAGTCTCAGGTAGACTACCTTTGCGCCGAGGTTCCACAGCGATAGGTTAACACAGTCACCCACAACGTTCCAACTGCTTGCTCATCCTCCTCCACCTGCAACTCCCAGAGGTCAAAAGGGTTACCAAAAGCCAGGTCTGTCCTGGCCTTACCCTCTTCCTCCCACTGCTCCAAAGTCCGCGGGTCGCTCCTGCAGACGCTGCCGAAGAACTCTGGAGGGACGGGCTCTATCCGGCAGCCCTGTCTCTCCTGGCGCGGCTCTTCCTCCCGCGCGCAGGCCTCCGCCGCCCTCCGGCAATGCTCGCCCAGCTCCTCGGCGTCCAGCTTCGCCAGCGACTCCAGGAGCGAGTCTCGCTGCGCCGGGTCCAGCTCGCCCCAGAAGCGCAGCAAGTGGGACTGGCCGGCACGCTCCAGCCACGCCCGGATCTCCTCTTCCAGGCACGCCATCACTTCCTCTCTCTGCGCTGCTCGCTGAGCTTTTGCAAAGGGGAAAGAGAGTCTTTTTTGCAATTTGCAACAGCTACAAAACTGTCCCTGGGGAGAGCGCGCCAAAGTTTGTGGAACGTTCCCCGGGAAGAAACGGAACGTCGCCTCCACCTAGTTCCCCCTGTGAAGGTCGGTTACTTGCAAGATCTTCTCTTGCAACCACAGCACGGAAACCCGTATCACTTCCAAATTCCCGCCCCGCCCCCCTTCGCCTGAGCGCACTGATTTCAGGCGTGCCCTCGTCCAACCACGCAGGGTTCCCCTTCCATTAGCCACAGGGGGCGGGGAATAAAACAAAATTGCAACCGGTCAAACTTTAAAAAAGCAACTGGTGGGAGTCAGGCCTCAGGAGGAAGGAGAGGAATGGCTGGAGGAAATTGCAGCCAGCGCGCAGTCCCGCCCCCAGGCGTAAGGAACGCCCCCGCTTCTACGTCCTGTTTCCCGCGAGGATGCAAAACGGTTAGCTGTCTATACTGGGCGCTCGCTTCGAACTTGTTTGTCTGAGCTGAAGCGATTCTGCTTACTTGCAGCGTAACGCTGTGTATGTTTATGCATAAGTTCTCCTTCAGCTCGAAGCGGGTTGGGGATACTTCCAGGCTTGCAGCCGGATCCTTTTAACCGAAGATGCCAAGGACTGATCCTGGAGTCTTTGGAGGCAAAACGCCCGCTTTGCCCGCTGGAAGTTCCCGGAACGTTTTCTGCCATCTGTCAGGGATGCTTTAGTTGTGAATCCCGCATTGCGGGGAGATGGACTAGAGTAGACCACCCTTTAAAGCTCCTTCTCTACCAATCTATGATTCCACGCCTGCCCCAACGCGGTGAATATCCGTGACTCTCTCCTTTAACCTCCTGCAGAAACCGGAGGCTCTAACGGAATGGTCTTAGTAACGCCAATCCCCGCCCTTCCCTGGCAGCCTCACCTGCGGGCTCCACCGCAGGATGTCCAAACACAGCACGGCGTGTACTGTGCAAGAAAACGGCCTTGTTCCAGCAGGTTGTCCTCTTTCATAGCAAACGAACACTTTTCCTCCAAAGCCTCTATGGTCCTCTATGGAAACAGCGCTATTTCACGTTTGTCTTTTAGATACCTTTATGCTTGTTTACCAGGTACTGTATAATGGGCCCGAAAGAAAAAATCTGTTCCCTGAATTGACCTCACTGCCTCTTCCCTCTATGTAGTTTACATTACTGTACAAAGGATATTGTAGGGTTGGGTATTGGAAAAGTTCAGAGAAGGGCAACCAAAATGGTCAAAGGGGTGGAGCAACTCCTCTTTGAGGAAATGTTGCATTGTTTGGGACTTTTTGGTGTACTATTATTATTACTATTATTACTATTTTTTAATTTATATACCACCCAAATCTGAATGTCTCAGGGTGGTTCACAGAAAAGAGAAGTGTAGAGAAAAGACAAGTAAATAGGTGACATGATAGAAGTTTTTGGATGGTATGGACTGGAGAAAGTGGTCAGAGAAAAGATTTTGGAGGAAGTTGGAGGCAGGAATGCTTCTGAATACCAGTTGTTTGAAGCCAGAGGAGGGGAACGGACTCTAGTGCTCTCAGTGCTAGAAACTCAAGATATATCAGCTAAGAGCAAAATGGCACCTTAGCTCCAGATTGCAGTTTACCAGGGGGTTGGTCTAGAGGACCCTCAGGGTCCCTTCCAATGCTACAATTTTATGGCTCTATAATCTCAGCTACATTGCTTGACTGTATCTTGCTCTTGCAACAATTCACTTGTCCCAGTATGCAAGAAGGTGAAACACACGCAGTGGAAATGGAATAAAATATGGACTAAATTATGGCTACCAGATTTTTTTCAAGGAATCTGGGAACACTTTTTTTGGGGGGGGGAGCTAAGTAGCAACAGGGAGTCAGTCGTGGGGATGGTGAGGCAAAAGACCCTGGGCCCAGGCACACAAGCATATTGTATAAAGGTGCAAAGCCCTTCTTTCGTATGCTGTGAAACATAAATGCACAGAGTTTTTTAAAAACAGGCCAACACCCACCCACAACTCCCGAGCCTCCCCCGATCAGTCAAAACAAAGGGGAAGGGGGCAGGAGACCCGTACCGCTGGACATCCCTGGTTCCCCTTTGGCAGTGGTGGTGGCAGAGGCAGTCAGCAGCCCGGAGCCAGCCTGGTAGCGCAGTTGGCTCTGGCTGGCTTCAGGAGCTGCTCGCTGCCGTGGCGCCCGCCATTTTTCCTCTCCGGAAGTCCCCATATGATGGGTTGCGCACAAGATACATCATATGGGGACTTCTGGAGAGGAAAAATGGTGGGCACCACGGCAGCAAGCAGCTCCTGAAGCCAGCCAGAGCCAACTGCGCTACCAGGCTGGCTCCGGGCTGCTGAGGCTGCCGCTGCCACGTTTCCCGGGGACAGATTTGCAGATCTGGGGACATTTTGGGGACGGAATTTGTCCAGGGACAGATTTGCAAATCTGGGGACTGTCCCTGGGAACCGGGGATGTCTGGTAACCCTAGACTAAGACGGAGGTTTTTAAACTGTGGTCACCAACATGGTGCCCAGAAATCTCAGCATGGTTGCAAAACCAGTAGCAAAATGCACCTGATGCACGGGGAGTTTTATATAGTGGTTCAGATCCTGCTTGAGGATTTTGCAGTTGGGCATCTGGTTGGCCACTGTGAGAACAGGATGCTAGACTAAATCGGCCATTGGCTTGCTTGAACAGGCTCTTCTTATGTGCCTGTTGAATTGTAAGTTGCTGTTTTAAACTGTGATTGCACTGGCAGAAAGTTAGTTCAGTAACCTAATAAAAATAATTTTATTATTTTAAATTATGTATTAAATTTATATACCACCCTATCTATACCTAGAGGTCTCAGGGCCGTTCACAGAATAAAATCAGAATACAAAATACATCATAAAAATAACCCCCCCACACACACATTTTAAAAGGGCATAAAATAATAATAATTATTGTTTATACAGCAGCATCAATGTAGGAGATAAATTGCTTTGCAGGAGTCAACAGAGGCAAAACAAAAACCAGGTCCCTTGAGGAGCTTACACAACTGCGCGGTGCCTCATTAAGAGTGATGAGGAGGGAGAGAGGTAGAAAAAGAATCCACAGCTGTGTTTTTTTCCTGTAAGTTCCCCCCACCTCCATTATTTTCTAGAACCAATGCAACCACCAACTCAGTTGCTGTGTGGAATTGGACAGCCAAGGGAGGAGTGCCCAGTAACGGCTACCATATACTGAAATTGGAAAGGTATAAGGGAGGAGGTCAACAGTAGGTGGGCTAGAATAAGGTTACCAGATTTTTTTCAAAGAATCCGGGGACACTTTTTTTTTTAAGAGAAAAAAAGTTATTAAAAAAGAAGAAGTAATACCTTCTCTTCTGTGGTCTCCTCTGTCGCATGGCCTTCCTGTGGGCCCTGCCTGCTCCCTCGTAGCACTATCTGCCATGGAGAGGCTCATGTCGGGCCTGGATTCGGCCACGTGTCCTTGCCCTCCCAGTATTCTCCTACCACTCCTCCTCAGCAGCGGCAGTGGTGCGGCAAGGTAGGGGCTCCCCTCTTTTTTCTATTTTTCTCTTTCTCTCTCTTCCTTCTCCTTTCCTCCTCCCTGTGTCAGCTCTGGGGTTTTCCTGGCCCCGAAGCGCCGCTGGGCAGTTGGCCGGGCACTCTCCCTCCCAGCTCAATTTGGGTCATGGGGGGGGCAGAGTTCCCCCAGTTGACACGCTGGGCGTCCCCGGTTCTCCCTTGGCAGTGGCAGCGGCAGTGGCAGTCTCAGCAGCTCAGAGCCAGCCTGGCAGTGCAGTTGGCTCTGGCTGGCTTCAGGAGCGGCTTGCTACCTTGGCACCTGCCATTTTGCCTCACCAGAAGTCCCCATATGATGTGTCTTGTGCCGTTGAACCTATCACACAACATTCATTCCCTACTAATAAATCTGCAACACTTAAAATATAAATCGGGGACATTAAATGAAATCCGTGGATGGATTTTGTCCGGGGACATATTTGTTAATCCGGGGACTATCCAGGGAAACGGGGACAAGCTAGAACCAATGGCAGGTATAGCCAAAGTCTGCTTTTCAACCCATTTTCCTTCCTGCTGAGTTCTGCAAGGGCCACTCTGAGATCAGGGAGGAGGAAGGTGGTAGCCAGGGTCTTCCCCTGGATTGACGTTGGTGGGACAGGGCCCCATTTGCCTAGTAGACCAGCCTCCACTGAGCAGGGAACTGCCGGGAGGTGACCTTTTTGCTGACAGTTCCCCCAGGATGGCTGCCTTGGGTCTCAGTAAGGGGCACCCTGTCTCACAGGCAAGAGATGCCAGGGTGGAGCAGTGAAGAGTGAACTGGCATTACAAACCTGCCTTGGTTAGATTTCCAGCACAACGCAAGTCTCTGGCCTCCTCATGAGAAGAGAAGACTCCCTGGAAAAGACTTTGATGTTGGGAAAGATGGAGGGCACAAGGAGAAGGGGATGACAGAGGACGAGATGGTTGGACAGTGTTCTCGAAGCTACCAGCATGAGTTTGACCAAACTGCGGGAGGCAGTGGAAGACAGGAGGGCCTGGTGTGCTCTGGTCCATGGGGTCACGAAGAGTCAGACACGACTAAACAACAACAACATTCTTAACCTGAAGCACCACTTTAGCTAGTGGGGCCTCCCGCTGCCGCCGCGCCGCCGGAGCACGATTTCTGTTCTCATCCTGAAGCAAAGTTCTTAACCTGAGGTAGTATTTCTGGGTTAGTGGAGTTTGTAACCTGAAGCGTCTGTAACCCGAGGTACCACTGTATTGTAGAGTTGGGAAACGGTCAGAAAAGGGCAACCAAAATTATCAAGTGCGTGGAGTGACTCCCCTATGAAAAAAGGTAGCAGCGCTAGTGACTTTGATCCGACAAAGGCAAGTAAGAGGAGGTGTGAAAGAGGCATATAAAATTATGCATAGCGTGGAGAAAGTGGAAAGAAAAAAGGTTTTTCTCACTCTCTCTTGTGGATATCCAATGAAGCTGAATGTTGGAAGGTTTAGCACAGATAAAAGTACTTCTTCACACATTGTTATAGTCTGGAACTCATTCACCCAAGTGATAGCAATGGCCTCCAACCTGAATGGCTTTAAAAGTGAGTTGGACACATTCATGGAGGAGGAGAGGCTTATCAGCGGCTGCTAGTCATAACAACTGTGCTCAGACTCCACAGCTGGAGGCAGCAACGCTTCAGAATACCAGTGCTGGAAGCCATAGGGGCAGAGGGCTCTTGTTGTGTTCGATTCAGATTGCAGGTTTCCCACAGGCGTCTGATCCGCTACTGTGAGAACAGGATGTGGGCTAGATGGGCCACTGGCCTGACCCAGTACGCTCTTCTTTAGGTACTTTGAGAGCCCTTTCCCGCCCAGCAGTGGCGCAACAACTAACCACCCCCTTTTGCAGAGAGAACTCTGGGACCCTCATTTGTGTGGCACGGCTTGTTTTTTTCATTCTTGCTGTATGAACACATTTTATGTTTCACTATGTGCTTGTTCTATGCATCCGATTCTTAAATGTTTGATACATAAGTCAGTATTTTTAAATGTTGTGTTAGCAGTCGCTTTGAGGATCGGGAGCAGGAGAGGTTTCTTAAGCCATGCGTCTGAGTGTCCCGATCACTCAGCCGGGGCTAGTCCTGGGGGAGCTAAGGGGCCATTTCTGCTTCTTTGTAGAGAATGTAGAAAAAGGGAGAAAAGTATCGTTTTAAAGCTGCTTGAGGGGGGGGGCATCGAACGCGTGGAGGCGAAGAAATCAAACCAGCTCGCGAAGCGCCTCAGCCAATCCCCTTCCAGGGCGCTGAGCCGCCGGCCAATGAGCGGGAAGATTTGGTGCCAGTGTCGCTGACGTCACAGACCGGAGTTCTAGCCAACTCTTTGGAACGTTCGGAAGGTAACTTTTGTGTTCCTTCGGAACTTTGTGTAGCAATTTCGGGAGCAGCGATGGCGCCTGAGCGCGGAAGTGATGGGCGCTCGCAGCCCGGCTGCAGCGCTACCGAGGGTCTGCCTCAGGCTTTCTTGCACAGCCTGAGGACCCTCTTCGACATCTTGGACGACCGCCGTCGAGGCTACGTGCACTTGCGGGAGATCGAGTCCCGGTGGCTGCAGCAAGGGAGCGAAGCTGGGGAGTTGCCCCGGGGCGTCTTGGAAGGGCTGCGGCGAGCCGCCCCGGCCAGCGGCTACCTCACCTTCGAGCGGTTCGTGCTGGGCTTGAGATCCTCGCTCCTCAGCCCAGACAAAGGAGGCACCTCACCGGGCCCCGCCAACAAAGGCCCCGGGCGCCCCGGCGCCCCTGCTCCGAAAAGCAGAGGAGAAGCGGAGAAGGGGTGCGGACGCGGCGCCGGCGAGTGCGCCTCCCGGTCCCAGGAGAAGATCGCCAGCGCGCCGGCGGAATGCAAGAGAGCAGGTAAGGCGCAGGAGGCTAAAGGGTCTCGCCCTCCCCGCGAAGACTTGAGAACCCATGACTTTTAATTCGCGGGCACAGAAGTGCCTCTGAGCATGCGAGGAATCCCCTTCCCTCTTCGCGTTGAGTAACTACCCTAACAGAGAGCCGGTGTGGGTGTTGCGGTGGTAACAGACGGGCCATGGAGAAGAGCCCAATTCAAATCCCCAGTTGGCTATGGGTGACTCTGTGGCGGGCGCGATATCTCAGCCTAGACCCTAGAGTACCTTGCAGGGCTGTTGTGAGGAGGGTAGGACTGAGGTAGCAGGGAGAGTTCTGTGTGCCACTTTGGGCTCCGTAGAGGAAAGATGGGATAAGAATGTAGATTAATAAAGGAGGATAATGCATGCTTACCTTGCAGAATGTATACATGGGTCCAATGATACTTACCTGCTAGTATACTTTTTTGGTGGATCGCAGCCTAACTGCACAACCTTGTGCTTCTTGCCTACTGAGAAATGCATTTCCTGGAGCCTAAGGCACAGTCTACCCACTACCTTCATTTTATCTTCACAAAAGCCCTGTGATGTGAGCTAGGCGGAGAGATAGTGATTGACCCCAAAGTGGGCTACTTTGAGGTTAGTGCATGGGTAGGCACTACCCAGATCCGACCCCATTCACCTTCTCAATCCAGCCCGCAGACGGTCCAGGATTCAGCGTGTTTTTACATGAGTAGAATGTGTCTTTTTATTTAAAATGGCATCTCTGAGTTATTTGTGGGGCCTGCCTGGTGTTTTTACATGAGTAAAATGTATGCTTTTATTTAAAATGCATCTCTGGGTTCTTTGTGGGGCATAGGAATTCGTTCAATCTTTTTTTCTCTTCAAAATATAGTCTGGCCCCCCACAAGGTCTGAGGGACAATGGACCGGCCCCCTGCTGAAAAAGTTTGCTGACCCCTGGGTTAGTGGGTATGGGTTTGCAGTCTAAGCCCCCTCCCCACACATTTACCAAACTGCTCTCTGTAGCACCTTCCTTTATGCATCACACCTATTTCAGTTGCTCACCTGGGCTGCCTCCCACCTGCATTCCTTCCTCACCTGCCTGCTGCTCCATCCTCATGCTGCGGTTATTGTGGCCATACTGTTGGAAAATACAGTACAGTGGTACCTCGGGTTACATACGCTTCAGGTTACACACTTTGCTAACCCAGAAATAGTGCTTCAGGTTAAGAACTTTGCTTCAGGATGAGAACAGAACTCGTGCAGCGGTAGCGCAGCAGCGGCGGGAGGCCCCATTAGCTAAAGTGGTGCTTCAGGTTGAGAACAGTTTCAGGTTAAGAACGGATCTCCGGAACAAATTAAGTTCTTAACCCAAGGTACCACTGTATAGAGAGAAATAAATGATAAAAAAAGTAGCTATAGGGTTGCAGGCATACTTTCCTGAATTTTAGAGAAGGTTTGAGGGAGGCAGAAATAAACTAGAAGCAGTTTTTCCTTGGTAATTCCCCCCTCTCTCCTCCTGGTCTGGGGAGCGGGGGAGGGGAGACCCAGGATGGCTTTAATTGGATCACTTCCCCTTTCACACTTCTCTCCAATCTACAGCAACCAAAGGTGGCAGTGGTGGTATCCGAAAGCTGGCAGGGCAGGCTCAGTACGAGAGCACCTCCAAGCTGGTAGCAGAAGTGCGGAGGCAGCCAAGAGGCCGTGGTGAGCACAGAAGACACACCATCACCAACGGGGTGGACTACAGCATGGTATGAGAGCCCTTTCTTATCACGCATTGGTTGGACGCAGAAGTATGGTGGGAGGCACCAGCTGGGAAGTCCTCCAAGGAAAGAAGGCTCAGGGCCTGGAGATTGTTGGTGGGACAATGACGAGTGGTCATAGGGACATGAAGAAGGAGACTGAAAGCTGAAGAGGTAACAGGGTTTAGTGAGCAGGGTGAGTCTGTGGCAGAAGGAAGTCCAGAAGCAGAGGCTGGCGAGGAGGGAAGCCAAGAAACCAGATGGGTGAAGAAGCTGTGGGAAGGGAGGGATTTTCAGACATGGCAACTGATCCAGGGGGCCGGACCTACCGGGAATGAGATGCTCTGCTTGTTAGGCCTGACACTCTGCCATGTCTGTGAAGGTTGTGTTTTTGGCAACTCCAGTTTGCATGATGTGATTACTGCCGGCTCGCTCTTGTCACCTGGAGGAGCTCTGAAAACGCTGGAAGCAGTGACTTACTGGATGGGGGCCGGTACATTGAGACTGAATCCTGATAAGATGGAAGTGCTGTAGGTGGGAGGTTCCTATGTCCTGACATTAGGCGCATGGCCTGTTCTGGGAAGGGTTGCAGCACCCTGGAAGAACACATTCAGTCTGAGAATGCTTTTGGATTCCATCTTGTCCCTTGAGTCTCAAGTGATATCTTTGACTAGGAGTGCTTGTGTCTGGCTTAGGCTGACTTGCCAGCTGTGGCTGTTCCTGGGATGGGATAGCCTGACCGCTTCTGTCTGGACTACTGCACTGTGCTGTATGCTGGGCTGCCTTTGAAGACAGTCCAGAGGCTGCAGCTTGTGCAAAATGCAGTTGCTAGGCTGGGAAGTTGTACCACCTGATGGCGCTGTGCGTAACTGGTCCTGAAAGTACCGTGTTTGCTGCCAGTGAGCTACCAGACCCAATTCAAAATTTAGTGCAAGCATATAAAGTCCTAAATGGCTTGAGGCCTGGTTTTTATCTTACTACTGACTTCAATTAGAGATAGCTGTGCTGACTGGCGAGAACGAAATCTACTGCAGAAAGATAATGAGGCTGCTGGCTGAGAAAGGTTCCCCCCCACCACCACCCCAACCTTTTGGCCTAAAGCCTTGTCCTTCTCACTGGTATGCTGAGCCCCCTGGTCAACAAACCTCATGGCAGCCTCAGATCTGTGGAACTCTCTTCTACTGGAGAAATGTCAGAACCCGGGCTTTGAACTAAGGGTTTGTTTGGGGCTGACATATAAACTGGAGTGGGAGATAATCTCAATTATAGGGTTTTCTGTTCAAATCTCTCTCTGTTTCTCTCTTTGCTCTCTAGTTGAATATGTGTGTGGATTTTAAAAGAGGGCGATGTTGACCCCATGAGGAGGGCTGGGAATGAAAAGAAGGTTGGAGACCTGTCTTTGCCCCAGATTCTGAGGGGGGGGTGCCCTCTCACCCCTCTTCCATCAAATCGCCCCATCTGGAGAGCACCTCCTGCATGTTTAATGGCTGCCTGTTTGCTTTCAAGGAGCAGGAGGCATACATACACATGCCTTGCTCTGATGCGTATTGATCTCCCTCGTGGGGTCCCTCATAGCTCATTGCAGCTAGGCTGATCGGGTGGGGGTGGGGGGGAGACAACTTCGCTTGTTTAGGTGGCTGGTTCTCCTTCCCTGCCCCCACCTTCTCTTCCCTTCCACCCCCCCCCCGGGAACCTTCGATCAGCTGCAGGCTCGATGCTCCCTTGCCAGCTTTGGGGATGCTGGCCTTTTCTATCCCCCCTCCCCCCGTCGCCATGGCAATCACCCCCACCTCCACCCAGGAAGGCCATTCTGCTGCGGGTGGCTGAGCGAGCTGGATGAGGGCGCTGGCTGCGTACAGCACCCTCGTCGTGCCTCTGGCCAGCAGCCTCCACAGTCCCAAAGCTCTGGATTTCTTCCTGTGGGTATGTCCTGCCTCACGTGGGCTTAGGAAGGCGGGTGCTTCGCCCTAGGTGCATGCAAATCATTTGAAAATCATTGTAATCTGGGGTTGCTGCCTTGAGGGTTTTCTGGTATCGGTTCTGGAATTGGGGGACAGGATGGCAGAAGGAGGGAGGGAGGGAGGCGGTTTATGGATAAAGGATCAGGAACACAGGAGGCTGCCTTATTCCCAGTCATGCTGTTGGTCCACCTACCTCAGTACTGCCCAGTGGCGTAGCATGGGGGGTGCAGGGGGGGCCGGCCCGGCGCAACATCTGGGGGGGGCGCTCACACTCGCAGCTCTCTGCCCCTACCTGGCTCGAGTGCTAAAATCCACGGGTTAGGGGGCACAAATTACTTGCCTTGCCCCGGGTGCTGACAACCCACGCTACGCCACTGGTACTGGCAGCAGATCTGAAACTGCAGTCTCTTGCATGCAAGGCATGCTCTGGGTGCCCTTGCTGGCACCGGCTTTCCAGGGTTCCAGGCTTTGCCATCAATTTCTGCTGAATCTTCTTCAACCAGAAATTGAACCTAGAAAGTCCTGCTGGCAGAAGGGTGTGGTCTACCTCTCCCGGAGGACTGTGGAATGACTCCCTCCAGGTGTTTGGAATTACAGCATCTACATTGGCAAAGGGTGTAGGTAACCTCTAAAAATAAAGGCTGCTAGATATCATGGTGTATGCATGCATGCGATGTGAGGGAACAGAGCAGCACAGTGTTCAATGCAGCACTTCATGGGGCGGGGGGAAGGCTGCTTTTTTGTTTTCATTTAAAAACCAAGCTTGTAGTCCTCATGTTTGTAAATTTGTTTCATGCTGAATATGTGGAAGGCAGGTGACAGTGAGTGTTGGGAGAAAAGCACTTTAGAGCAAGTTCGAAGGTATGGTTTTCCTGCGTTAGACACAGGCTCTGCTCAACTTGAGTCTTTGGAACATGATTGGAAGCCAAGAGTAGGGGCTGTGAAATGTAGAACCCATGGCCCCACGGAGTTTTTAGCTGAAAAAGAAGGGACTTGGAGGGGCAGCAGCTGTTTGTGTGTGGTGGCATTTCTCTTTCCTCCAGAATGGAAACTCAACGAGGAAAACAAAACATGAAAAGGCTAGGGGTCACTGTGGGGTGCTTGCTGGCACAGGAAAACCCCTAGAAGTCGCAAACCAGGACTTGTTACCAAGTTCTGAGATGTGTGGCTTAGAGTCCACCTTGGAAATTATTCTGGAACTGGAATAAGAGGGGAAAGAGAAATCAGAAATGAACCCCTTTTAATTAATTTTTGTTTTAATGCATTTTTATCCCAACTTTTTCTCCAAGGAGCTCAAGGCAGCATGCGTGGACTAGGACTAGCCGCCTGAGAAACAGTTTCTATTCAAATGCGATTTTGGTTTTAAACGCAGTGTAAGGGACACGGGTGGCGCTGTGGGTTAAACCACAGAGCCCAGGACTTGACGATCAGAAGGTTGGTGGTTTGAATCCCTGCGATGGGGTGAGCTCCCGTTGCTCGGTCCCTGCTCCTGCCAACCTAGCAGTTCGAAAGCATGTCAAAGTGCAAGTAGATACCGTATTTTTTGCACCATAACCCTCACTTTTTTCCTCCTAGAAAGTAAGGGGAAATGTCTGTGCGTGTTATGGAAGGAATGCCTACGGGTGGCATGCCTACGGATTTTCCTCCTCTAAAAACTACGTGCGTGTTATGGTCAGGTGCATGTTATAGAGCAAAAAATACGGTAAATAGGTACCACAGGAAGGTAAATGGCATTTCCGTGCACTGTTCTGGTTCGCCAGAAGCAGCTTAAGTCATGCTGGCCACATGACCCGGAAGCTGTACGCCGGCTCCCTCAGCCAATAAAGCGAGATGAGCGCCGCAACCCCAGAGTCGGCCACGACTGGACCTAATGGTCAGGGGTCCCTTTACATTTTAAGGTAGTCTCTGTGGGTGTATTTAATTATGGGGTATCAGGGTTTTTAGGGGGTTAACCAGGCTGGGATAGCAGGCAGAAAGTGTGGTGTTGATTTTTTCAATTTTGTTGTTCTGTATGGGACAATGACAATAAAGATTATTGTGTCGTGGTTCTTCCCATCTCATTTAATTTCCGCGACAACCCTGTGAGGTACGTTAGGCTGAGAGGCAGCGACTGGCCCAAGGTCACACCCAGTAGGGACTATGTACAAGATGTTTCCTACCCCCCCCCCCCGCCGGTCCTTCTATGGTGGCCTTTTTGTGAGCAAGGACTCACTGCCTGTGCCTGGGGTTTGTGTCTTGGCAGCTGAAGCAGCTGAAGGAGCTGGAGAAGGAGAAGGACTTATTGCTGCAAGGGCTGGAGCTAGTGGAGAAGGTGCGCGAGTGGTACCACCAGCAGATCCATGCTCTCCAGCAACGCCAGAAGCAGCTGGGCAGCGGAAGAGTTCACATTGTGAGTAACAGGTTGCTGCTGGGTTGCTTTTGTTTTTTTAAGTGAGTTTCCTTGCTTGCTCTCCAAGGAAGGAGAACTTTCAGACCGTGTGGAACGGTCACACAGCTCTTACCGTCAGAAAATTCTTCCTGATGATGAGTCGGTATATCCTTTCTTGCATTTCCCTTTGTGGCTTAGGGCCCTCGTATCTACGGGACCGCCTCTCCTGGTCTGCCCCGCAGAGGACCTTAAGGTCCTTGAATAACCATCGTTTAGAGGTCCCGGGCCCTAAGGAAGTCAGACTATCCTCTACCAGGGCCAGGGCCTTCTCAGTGATGGCTCCGACCTGGTGGAATGCTCTGCCCCATGAGACTAGGGCTCTTCAGGATTTAACCTCCTTCCGTCGGGCCTGTAAGGCAGAGCTATTCCGCCTGGCCTTTAATTTGAATTCAGACTGATCTTTTATTTCCCTTCCCTTCTCTTCCCTCCCCTTTCCCTTTTATGAAGATCACCCGCTCTGAGACCCCACGGCTAATTCTCCCATGGCCTCCTCTCTGGCCCAAGTAGGACTAATTCAGCCAGCTAGCCCTGCTGACTATCTAATGCTTATTCTCCCTAAACTGAATTTTGAATTTTATTGTTATTTATGTTTTTATACTGTATTTTATGCTGCTTTTATAATTAAGTGTTTTAAATTTGTTATTAGCCAACCTGAGCCCGGTTTTCTGATCCGGGAAGGGCGGGGTATAAAAATTATTATTATTATTACTATTATTATTATTATTTGCTATCTTGGGGTGCTGGCTGCAGGCATGAAGGAGCTATGGTGGAGTGCTGCTGTGGATTGACAGCTGGCCTGGCTGCTCTCTTATATTGCTTTCTCCCCCCTGGCTTTCTCTCACACAGGACTTGTTCGCAGAGGGCACCCTGAGCCACCATCTCCTGCTCAAACTGCAAGCGCTGAATCACTACCTCAGCGAGCTATTGCCTCTCTCAGCAAAGGTGAGAGCTGCGGTACCGACCAGGGCCAAGGAAGTGGGAGTGGTGCGAGGGCTATACTCTGAGGGCTATACTCTGCCTTCATACTCGGAGGCCGCAATGCTTCTGAACACCAGAAGCTACAGGAGAGGAGAAGGTTCTTGTTCCTCCTTGCAGGTTTACCATGGGGGGGGCATCTGGTTGGCCAGAACAGGGTGCTGGACCAGATGGGCCATTGGCCTGACCCAGCAGGGCGCTTTAATTAATTAATATCCTTTATTAGGCATAGCAAACCACATATTATCAAATAGACACCGTATACAAATTGTGCAAAACACAAGCTCAACATAACAAGGTTTGTCCCAGTCAGATTTTTAACTCCAGAGAGAATCAATTTGCACAAATAATACAATACAACACTACCACCTCACCAATCAATTAAGAAGCACTAAATCTCTTTATAATGGCCCAGTCTTTCTACATGGACAGCACTCAAAAATCCAGCCTCTATTAAAGTAATTTGACCATTCCTGTCCGAGAGCAGGTCCTGAACCGTTGCTGGTACTGTATACAGGTGAAACTCAAAAAATTAGAATATCGTGGAACAGTTCCTTTATTTCACGAATTCAACTTCAAAGGTGAAACTAATATATGAGATAGACTCATGACATGCAAAGCGAGATATGTCAAGCCTTTATTTGTTATACAGGTGAAACTTGAAAAATTAGAATATCGTGGAAAAGTTCCTTTATTTCCGTAATCCAACTTGAAAGGTGAAACTAATATATGAGATTGACTCGTGACATGCAAAGCGAGATAGGTCAAGCCTTGATTTGTTATCGTTGCGATGATCATGGCGTACAGCTGATGAAAACCCCAAATTAACAATCTCAGAAAATTAGAATATTCAAGGAAAACAAGGATTGCAAATCGAGCAAGATTGGACCTCTGAGAAGTAGAAGCACATCTCACTTTGCATGTCATGAGTTGATCTCATACACTAGTTTCATTTAAGTTGAATTACTGAAATAATAAATAAATTTTATGGCAGTCACACAGAATTTGGCCACCCGTAGCGTAATCTCCAGATCCTTGTCCTCTACCAGGAGTTTTAGACATTGGACCCATTTGGAGATTTTTGTATAACAGGAGTGATAAATACAGTGGTGCCTCGCAAGACGAAATTAATTCGTTCCGCGAGTTTTATCGTCTTGCAATTTTTTTCGTCTTGCAAAGCACGGTGTCGCAAAAGTTTTGGAAAAGCTTCAAAAATCACCAAAGTCTTTAAAAACCTCAAAAAAGGCTATCACACCGTGTCTATGAGTTGCTCCTCGAAGTCAAGTCGCAACTGTATTAACGGTGTTAAGAAAAAGGAAACAAACTTGCAAGACGTTTCTGTCTTGCGAAGCAAGCCCATAGGGAAAATCGTCTTGCGAAGCAGCTCAAAAAACAAAAAACCCTTTCGTCTTGCGGGTTTTCCGTCTTGCGAGGTACCACTATACCGAGCGTATATCCCTGTAGAAACGGCCGCGTAACAAGACATGAGAGACAGTTTCTACCTCCATCAAGCCACAGGGGCAGACACGTTCCACGTATGGTTTACCCTTGAATCTGCCCTGCAATAAGGCAGATGGCAGCACATACAATCTAGCGAGGGTAAATGACCGTCTATATTTGGGTATTTGTAATTCTGACAAATAATTTGCTGGGGTAAATCCTCTCCCATTAACTTTTATTGCTGGGGGTTTATTCATCTCGCTCACGTGGCATTGCAGTTCCACATCCCAAATTCATTGGCGGTTTAATGCTCTAGCAAACATCACTGGGGGCATTCAGAGTGCTCCCCACCGGGTGACAACAAAGGAGAGGGCCTTTTCTGTTGTGGGAACCCTCAATCTGGACCCAGGCATAAGAGCACCCTCTGGGCCCTGTAGCTTCCAGTGACTGTGGAAGCAGAGCAGAGCTGCCATGGTTAGTAGCCATCGATAGCTCAGTCTCATCCATGCATTTGTCCAATCCTCTTTTAAAGCCATCTAGGTTGACAGCCATCACTGCCTCTTGTGGGAGGGAGTTCCACAGTTTAACTGTGCTCTGTGTTAGTTAGACACGGGTGGCGCTGTGGGTTAAACCACAGAGCCTAGGAGTTGCTGATCAGAAGGTTGGCGGTTCGAATCCCCACGACAGGATGCGCTCCCATTGCTCGGTCCCTGCTCCTGCCAACCTAGCAGTCCGAAAGCATGAAATGTAAGTAGATAAATAGGTACCACTCCAGCGGGAAGGTAAATGGTGTTTACGTGCGCTGCTCTGGTTCGCCAGAAGTGGTTTAGTCCTGCTGGCCACATGACCCGGAAGCTGTACACCGGCTCCCTCGGCCAGTAAAGCGAGATGAGCGCCGCAACCCCAGAGTCGGCCACGACTAGACCTAATGGTCAGGAGTCCTTTGGTCAGGTGTCAGTCATAGAATTGTACAGTTGGGAGGTACCCAAGAGGACATGTAGTCCAACCCTCCGCAATGCAGGAATCACAGCTAAATAATCCCTGACAGGTTGAGGAGTCACCGAAAGCCTTTCTCGTGTGTGAGAATGAGGAATGAAGTGCATTAAGAATATGGTGGTGGTTTGTCTTTTTGAGAGAGAGTGTGAAGCACGTGCAGCCCTGGAACAAACTGCTTTTCTTTGTCTCTAGCCACTGAACCCCAGTTTTGCATTGGGGCATGCGCCACCCTCTGCGCTCACGACCTCCCCTCCTCTCGTCGGATCTCAGCAGGCCTTCAACATGTTGAAGGAGCAGAATCGTCTGCTCACCATGGTGAGTCTGCTATTAAGTGCCAGTCCGTCTGAGTCACTGCCAGCCCACCTGTCCCCAGCCATGTTTTTTTCCCTTCAAGATTTTTTATTCATTTTACAACACAAATAAACAACACAAACAGAATAAAACAAACAATACAAATCAATTCTTGTCTTATCCTTATTTTTTCTAAACATTGTTAGGTGAGCTTCCCCAAGTCCCCCTATCTGATTTTCATTTTACCTCATCTTTAGCAGTTTACCTATATCATAATTTTTAACCACACTTACCATAAAAATCTTCACATTTTATCCCCTACATATAGTACTATTTTAAAACACACTATCTTCTACTTCTAACCTTACAGCCTATATCAACTTCCAAAGCTATTCTATGATTTAAATATTAACATATTTTTTCAAATATTCCTTAAACTTCTTCCAATCTTCTTCCACCGTCTCTTCTCTCTCGTCTCGGAGTCTCCCAGTCAGTTCAGCAAGTTCCATATAGTCCATCATCTTCATCTGCCATTCTTCGATAGCTGGTAAATCTTGTTTCTTCCAATTCTTCGCTAACAATATTCTCACAGCTGTTGTGGCATACAGAAAAAAAGTAACATCCTTTGGGGGGATTTCACCCCCCACTGTACCAAGTAAAAAGGCTTCTGGTTTTTTAATAAATGTGTTTTTCAACACTTTTTTCAATTCATTATAAATCCTTTCCCTGAAGTCTTTTACCTTGGGGCATGTCCACCACATGTGGTAAAAGGTTCCTTCTTTTTCCTTACATTTCCAGCATTTATTATCGTGAGTATGATACATTTTTGCTAACTTCACTGGTGTTATGTACCATCTATACATCATTTTCATCAAATTTTATCTTAATACACTACATGCTGTGAATTTAATTCCTTTCCCCCCACAATTTCTCCCAGTCCACCATCGTAATATTGTGCCCCACACCCCTGGCCCATTCAGTCATTACAGATTTCACCTGTCCCCAGCCATGTGGTGGTCTTAACTCTGCCTTTACCCCCCCCACAGGAGGTGACAGACAAAAGCGAGCGGATCACCCAGCTGGAGCTGGAGAAGTCTGCTCTGATCAAGCAGCTGTTTGAAGCGCGTGCTCACAGCCACCACGAAAGCAACCTGCTGGACTCCACCTTCATCTAAGACCACCTTTGGACATTGTGCAGGGCTGCAGGGAGCCACCAGCCCCAGCAGCTTGCAGGATCCTGTGCAGCTGCAAACAAGGTGGCGACCTACACCTTGCCCTCACCCCTGCGCCAACTGGCCTTGGATCCCTTTTACCTTGTGGCCAAGGCCTGAAATCATGACATTGGGTGCAATTTACTCTCCTGACGGTTGGGGAAAGGAGCGTTGATGTGCAGGCCTGCATTGCTCCAACCCAACCCATTTCAGGATCCAGATTTGGATTAGCTGCTGTTCCACCCCACCCCCCGGAAATGCCGGCGGTGTTTGGTGTTTTTATTTTAACTCCTGCCCTATGACTCCATTCCACTGAGTGTGGATGTGGAATTGGGGCTTTCACTCCAGTATTGATGGTCCGACCCGTTTCCCATGGTTAGAAGTCTCTTCCTTGACATGAGAAAGGAGATTAATGGTTATCTTTAGGGTACCTGCAACTCAATTATCTTTAGAATATCTACAACTCATTGACAAGCATTCCACATTGGGGGGACCGCATGTACTCCATGCTGGACCCAGCGGCAGAATGTAAGCATTCACACACACACCCCAGGGTGTTTGTGTGGGGCACCCCCCCCCAAGGGGGCCTGGGATGAAGGAAGCCCGCTGCGGCTTGCTGATTCTTCTCCACTCCACCCCTGGGTCAGTCCTGACCTGGGAGCAGAGCTTCAAGCTGGGTGCACACTGGAGCCAGGCTCCAGTGGGAGTCTGTTGTGGGGGCACCTGGTCATGCCTCCTCCCAAAAATGTGCCTGGGGAAACAGCCCCCCCCCCACAACACTCTTTGGCTTAAGAGGAGAGTACTTCTGAGTTCATGCAGAGCGCTCTTTCCTCCTTTGCTGTGGCTGGGCTTTGGGCAAACCTCTGAACCCCCTTCCTAAACCTGTGCCTGTTTTCATAAGAGCATCTCTGCTGAGTCACAGCAAAGGCCAAGCAGACGACATTGGGGATTATACTGCCTCTTATATGGGAGGATTGTTTGAGCTGTTGCAGCTAATAGACTTCTCATTTCATATCAGGTGGTTGGAGGTTTTCAAGCAAGCCTGGATTTCTCCAGGACATAGATGGAGTAGGCTTATTTTATGTTGCTAGTTATTTTAACCAGCTATTTGCAGGGGGTTGGACCAAATGACTCTATAATTTTGTGAACAAAACACAGCCATCTTTCAAAACTCTTAAATTCTCCCAATTTAGCAAAGCGCAGTTCTCCAGCTGAGGACTGCCTACAAAGATGCACAAAGCGAGAAGAAGTATACATAGAAATGCACTTATTAGTGAAAATAACATACAAAAGATGTATTATATTGGGGGGGAAATTGCTCTGTGAAAAGATGTGGATATTAAGTAAAATTGCATAAGAGCATCTGTAGAATACTAAGGGTTGGGAGGGATCCCAAAGATCATCTAGCTCAACCCCCTGCAATGCAAGAATCTCAACTGAAGCATCCAGGACAGAGGGTCACCCAACCTCTGCTTAAAAACCTCCGAAGAAGGAGAGCCCACCAGTTCTTGTGGGAGTCTGTTCCACTGTCAAACAGCTCTTTCCGTCAAAAAGTTATTCCTGATGTTGAGTCAGAATCTCATTTCTTCTCGTTTGAATCCATAGTGGGAGACACTCAAACTGAAAGGCAGGTGAGTTTCCATGATAACCTTTTCTTTAAATTGCTAGCTAATGTGGAATGGAAGCCTGGCAAAACGAGAAGCTGAATATGGGCAGACTTACCCAATATCCATCACACTCCAAATAGAATGTCCACAGACATGCTGTGACATCACTGATCGTCCACCAATGGCAGCTACAGTGGGTTTTGTGGACATGTAATGCTGGGGGAGGGACGTGGGTGGCGCTATGGGTTAAACCACAGAGCCTAGAACATGCCGATCAGAAGGTTGACGGTTCGAATCCGCGCGAGGGGGTGAGCTCCCGTTGCTTGGTCCCTGCTCCTGCCGAACTAGCAGTTCGAAAGCACGTCAAAGTGCAAGTAGATAAATAGGTACTGCTCCGGAGGGAAGGTAAACGGCATTTCTGTGCGCTGCTCTAGTTCACCAGAAGTGGCTTAGTCATGCTGGCCACATGACCCGGAAGCTGTATGCAGACAAATGCTAGCTCTCTCGGCCAATAAAGTGAGATGAGCACCGCAACCCCAGAGTCGGTCACGACTGGACCGAATGGTCAGGGGTCCCTTTACCTTTACTAATGCTGGGGGAATCCTGTCCACTTTTCACCACTGCTGTTTTGACTTGGGATGTCTCTGCAAAGAGCATCCCTCCCCCCCCGGTAATCAGAATTGTAGAGTTGGAAGGGACCTTGAGGATCATCTAATCCAGCCCCCTGCAATTCAGGAATATGCTGTTGTCTCATACGGGGATCAAACCTGCAACCTTGGCATTATCACCACCATGTTCTAAGCACCCGAGCTATCCAGGCTGTGGTTAAGATGCTATGTGACTCCCCTCCTCAAATATGTTTACCCTCCCCAAATAGGTTTACATCTGAACACTTGTATGCCATTTTTGTATGTAGCATTTTTTTACCGGTAACTTGTTTGAAGTTCTTCATGTATGTACATGTACACTTGTTTAAATGTTCTGTGACCATGGAGGATTGTTGGTTCCTTTTTCCTCCCAAATAAAAGCTGAAATGAGCCTGAAACCATTACTGCTGCTGCTGTTGTTGTGACTGTTGTTGTTACTGTTATTTATCATGCTAATTGATGCTTTTGAATTATGGTGCTGGAGGAGACTCTTGAGAGTCCCATGGACTGCAAGAAGATCAAACCTCTCCATTCTGAAGGAAATCAGCCCTGAGTGCTCACTGGAAGGACAGATCCTGAAGCTGAGGCTCCAAGACTTTGGCCGCCTCATGAGAAGGGAAGACTCCCTGGAAAAGACCCTGATGCTGGGAAAGATGGAGGGCACAAGGAGAAGGGGACCACAGAGGATGAGATGGTTGGAGAGTGTTCTCGAGGCTACTAACATGAGTTTGACCAAACTGCGGGAGGCAGTGGAAGACAGGAGTGCCTGGCGTGCTCTGGTCCATGGGGTCACGAAGAGTCAGACATGACTAAATGACTAAACAACAAAAATCACATGCAGGGTGCAGGTCTCTGTCCCAAGGGCCTTACAACCTACAAATAGTCCCAAGGCAGCAAGAGTGAGCTGTGTGACTTCTCACCTAAGAGCATTCATTATTATTTATTAATAAAAGTATTTATATAGTGCTAAATCACAAGACATACCAAAGTGGTTTACAACATTGATTTTCCTGTGCTTTCAAATATCTTTAATACGGTCAGTGACCAGAAAGCAATTTATAAAAAGAAATATGACATTAAAAGTAGTATTGTGCTACAAATAACAGTAGAAATATGGCCAATTCACAGAATTGGTGCTTATATTTATGGCCAGGTTTCGACTTTTAAGGTTTTAAAAATTCAATTCAGGTGTCTCTACTGTTTATTATCGTTCCTTCGATGTTTACAATTTGAACTCCGTTGCTGACATCATTGCTCGTCTTATTCTTGTTGCAATGTAACAGTACTTTGCCACGGACCTGTTAATTTCGGGCTCTTTGTCAGCTAAGAGGTGTCTGATATAGGTGTCGTACAACATTGAAAAGATTAAAACCACACACAAGAAAAGCTGTAGAAAAAAATCAAAAGCCATTTTAAAGCAAAAAATGTGTGTTAAAAACACACATCAGTCAACCATTTTGGGAGTGGTATTTCCTGCATAAGCCTGGTGGAATTAAAAATGTTTTCAACGGGCTTTTAAAACTTGGTACAGAGGGCACCTCCTTTGATGTGGCCAAAGTTTCTGCAGAAATGTCCTGTTTTGGTCCACAAGAGGGCCCTGCTGTCCCACTTAGAATACATTAGGTTTTAAAGAGCAGCATTAGCACACAGGCCACATGGGGTTGATTAATCTTTTTAGATTTATTTCACATATTTATAAACTGATTCACAGACTGAAACCATTGAAGCAGTGTACAACAATATAAACATGAGGGGGCGGGGGGAGATTCCCTAGGTGGAGACGGAGGCAATGAATTTTACTGATCTGCCTCTGAGTCAGTCTTTGGCCTCCCAGGAGGACACAGTACAGTAAGATCACATCTTGTGTGCAGTTAGCTTGCATTCTTCCAGCCAGGTTGGAAGGTGGCCTGTTGAAATTGAGAAAATTAAATGTATGCAAGTTGGAGAGCTTAAAAGGTTTGGGGTTTTTTGTGTGTGTGCCAGGTTTTCCCACCATAGCCCCTTCACTGTGCCTTGCTCACTTGTGTGCAAGCTCTGGAATGATGCAAGCATGGGAGCAGTTTGAGTAAACACATTTATGTGCCATCCCTGGAACATACCCCACCCCATGCAAGATGCAATCATACCTTACTGGGACACAAACACACACACACACACCCCAATTTTGGCTGAAGGTTTTAATGCATGGGTTGGCAAACTAAGGCCCAGGGGCCAGATCCGGCCCAATCACCTTCTCAATCCGGCCCGTGGACGGTCTGGGAATCAGTGTGTTTTTACATGAGTAGAATGTGTCCTTTTATTTAAAATGCATCTCTGGGTTATTTGTGGGGCCCCCCTGGTGTTTTTATGTGAGTAGAATGTGTCCTTTTATTTAAAATGCAATTCTGGGTTATTTGTGGGGCATAGGAATTTGTTCACACCTCAGGTCTGAGGGACAGTGGACCAGCCTCCTGCTGGAAAAAGTTTGCTGACCCCTGTTTTAATGCACAAGTCACGTGGGAACATAAGTCAGGTGACAAACTCTCAGGTCAATGGGTGCCGCAACCGATGAGGTACATGGCCAGGAGTAAGCCAAGACATTCCCCGAAATCTCTGCTCCTGAAATGGTTGGCACCCACAGAACTGAGAAAGCAAGCGAGCAGGCACTCCTCTGAGCAGGCTGAGTTTGCCAAGTCTGTTTGCACCAGCACAGCCGTGTCCACATCCTTGGTGATGGGAGACAGAGTTGATAGGGCCAGCTCACCATGTGATGGAATCCCACACACCAGCACTGCTGGGAGGTGCTACTAGGGACATGTCAGTCTGCTTTTTTTAAAAAAAATAATATTTATTACTTTTACAAATTTAAACACTACCAAAAAAAAAAACAAAGAAAAAACTACATTGCAATACAAAAACACTACATAACACTAAAACATTAAACGAACAAAGCAAAACAAAAACAATTTAAAAACACATAAAAAAAGAAAGAAAAAGATTTCAATATCTTATCTTTCTTTCACATATTTCCACAACCTCCTCACACCTCCCTTTTTGTATTCCACTTCTATTAATTATTTCAGCAATTCCTTTCCATCTTCCCCTGTTTTCTATCCCATAATTATCTTAACACATTTTAACCTTATTTTTCCTTTAATACTCTATTAATCTATTTATACTTAATTCCTTATAACATTTCTACTAAAGCCATATCTCTTCATTCCAACGTTCTTCTAGCATTCATTAATTTTACAATATTTCTGTAAATAGTCTTTAAACTTTTTCCAGTCTTCTTCCACCGACTCTTCTCCCTGGTCTCGGATTCTGCCAGTCATTTCCGCCAGTTCCATATAGTCCATCACCTTCATCTGCCATTCTTCCCTGATAGGTAAATCTTGTGTCTTCCAATACTTCGTGATGAGTATTCTTGCTGCTGTTGTTGCATACATAAAAAAAGTTCTATCCTTATTTAACACCAATTGGCCGACCATGCCCAGGAGAAAGGCCTCTGGTTTCTTCAGGAAGGTATATTTAAATACCT